ACAATAGAAGTGAAAACACCAACAATGCGGAATTAATAATATGAAATATAAATTATAAACAATAGTTCATTACAAAGAGGGTGAAATACTGAATAATTCTTCAATTAAACTATTTATAATTTGGTTTTCGTTACTATATTTTCCTTTTCGTCTCCCTAACACGACGTCGCGTTAAGATACAATTTTAAAAAAATATTATAGTACAGAGAGTTTGCAATGATGAACATCTCCCTCGCTCACAGTATGCGTGTCACATTTTAAGTTTCTGAAATATTTTAATCCATATCTTCAATAAATCTCGTTATTATTTGGACCGACTTTACCCGAGCGTTACACATCAGAAATCTACGTCTTCATCTGATTCACTCTCCACCAAAAATTAAAAAAAAAACGCCTAAAGAAGTTTTCACTTCAATAAAAAATCCTTCCACAGAAATTAGGAAATCTTTTCCATTCTAAGGGAATGTACTAACATATCTGGGTAATACTTTGGTTGATTGTTAGGAAAATAGATATGTACGTATTTTTAAACTTGACCTAGTAGTTGGATGCCTGTACCCTTTCATGGCTAATGATAATGAGATTTCGTTCCATTTACCGGTACGTGTAAGCAGGGGTTTTAATTTGTATAAAAATTCGTATTTACGAGTTTCAAACGACACTAAGAACGAATCTAACTTGCTTTTTTATAACAAAAATTTACTTGGCCTACATTACTAAAATCGCCTTTTGGTTTATGTAATTTATCATACATTATATCTCATTTAATATAGTAGTCAATATTTTCTCTCGGCTCCTAGGGCCCATTGGAGTGACCGCCCTCATGTGCCGAATATTTTTCGATGTAGCATTGAGTTGTCTGGAAAATAATGCAGAATTTTGGTTTAAAAAGAAAGATTTACAACTGTTTTATTTAATCAAAATAGACTCCACTACTATCAATATATTTTTGCCAATGTGTTGGCAACTTTTCCATTTCCTCGGATTATAATTTCCCATCTTTAGAATTGATAAACTGCAAAAACTCATTTTCTAATTCCCTTTGCCTATTAAATTTTTGTCACGGAAGTAGTGGTCCAGGTGTCTAAACAAATTATAATCCATAGGTGAGAGGTCCGGAGAGTATGGCGGATGCGGCAGAGTTTCATATCCAAGCTCCAACAGTTTTTGTTATGTCACACATGATGCATGTGGCCGGTCGTTGTCATGCAACGAAATTGACCAAATATGGCTTCAATATTGCCAATTTCTGAAGCGTTGCATTAATTTGGTTACAATATGATTCGGCATTGATGGTTTCTGCAGGATTTTAGAAGCTGTAGTGTATCAAACCAAATAAAGCCCACCCAACATTAACGATTAACTTTTTTATGATTTATTAGCTACAATCTTTTAGCTTTATCTCTGCTTAAAATGCACTTCAAAGATTTCATAATAGCGCAACATTGCCAGGAAATAATTTCTATTCAAAGTAGAGTGGTAAGAGAAAGTTGTGTGTTGCGCGCACCAGATTTTTTCTCTCTAAATATTCAATATTGTCAACAAATCACTGTACTTCGTCATTAATGTCGTTTTGAGCTTTATTTTTAATGTTTTTGTTTGCTTTAGTAAGGTATATCCGGAGGTTTTTCTGGACTACCTCTGCTTTTTGAAGATCATTTGAGGTTCCTACCTCAGTAACTTCTGCGTTATCATCTAGAGAAATCATTCTCGCAATTTTTGCTGTTGAACGTGCAACTCTTAGAGCAGGGGTGCCCAGGAGGGAATTTTATGGCGCAAGTTGGCCATCAAAATTTTTGAGAGGGTCACTGGGGTCATTGGAACACGGCAATTTTCAATTAGGTTGCTTGAATACGTCTGTTCTAAATTAAAAACTTATAAAACATGAAATTTTGCGTTCAGGGATTGCCTAATATTTCGAGTATGGTAGTGAAGAAATATTTTGACGGGTTTTTGAATTTTTGGGGGGGATACTTTCGAACGGGGTTATGATTTTATAAATAATAATTTATAAAAACTAACATCATTTAACGTAAACCACATGTTTTCAAGAAAATTAAATGAAATTTACTAACTAAATGTAAAGTTTTAAAATATTTTTAAGTTAAAAAAAAGGTGTTTAAAATTCACCTAACCAAGGCAATGATATGTTAAAAAACTATTTCATTGAACTTGTGTAAAAGAAGACGTAAAATACAAAATCATTTCATGGTTGTATAAAGCATATGTTTATAACCTTAAATATATTTACTGTAGTTTAGTGATTATAGATTTGATATTATATTTAAATTTAAACGGATTCGAGGCAATGACATTGTTTAAGATGCTATTTCATTATACTTGTGTAAAAGAAGAAGTGAAATATAAAAATATTTAATGGATACGTTTATTACCTTAAATATATTTACTGTAGTTAATAACTCTAGATCTGACATTATATTTAAATAATTAGGTATCTATTGTCCATATTTTTTCCAAAAAATCATTATGTAACCTTTTAGAAAATTAAATTAGTGAATAATTTTATAAATTTTCCCTTTGTGATATTACAACAGAATCCACTTACAATGAGTGTGACAACTTTTGACTTTTCAATGACAGACAATGCAAATGTCCTAATTCCGTTTTAGTAAACTTCGCAATGGAAAATAACAGATTCATAACTAATAGACGTACAATCCATATTCAACGGATCGTACAATCCATTATCAAACGGTGATATAATAAACAGGACTTTTGTTATTTTAATAGTATTTATGATTTCTTAGCTACAATCTTTTAGCTTTAGCTCAGTTAAAAATGCAATTCAAAAATTTTATAATAGCCCAAAATAGCCAGAAAATAATTTCAATTCAAAGTTGAGCTGTAAGTGAAAGTTGTGTACCAGATTTTTTTTAATATTCAGAGCATACATCAAAATTTCTGAAGAATTTACATCTTATTTGAGTTATACTGTTGCGCCTAGCATGCGCTAAAAGTGCGTAAAAAGAAATATTTTTTATTTTGTCAAATACAGAATGTGGCAAATGATTGTTAGGTATTTTTTAATTTTGATTAATTTTTTTAAGAAAACGTCTGTTTTTGATAATCAATGTTAAATAGCAAGAAACAAGGAGGAAGGAAGTTCTACGAAAAAAAGAAAACACATTTATTTTAATTATCATTATTTCGATATAATTTTTCGTAATAAAATTGTCTAATGTTATTGGTTTTTTTGATACCATTACCTGTACTTAGCAATTCATATTAGCTTCTTGCTTTATAAAAGCACTTTTGGATATTATTTAAAAATTAATCCTTACAGCAACTTGTCCCAACTATAATATATATTTAAAACTATAATAATAGAATTTAATCAACGCTGTAATATTACTATACTTAACAAAAAATATTTCTTTAATAATTAACGGAACTGAAAGACTTTTAAAATATAATAAACATTAAATAATAACGTCTATAATTCGGACAGATAATACTACATAATCTTTTGTTTAGACACCAACCCTGGATTCCTAATGCTATTTTATATCCAGTAGTGTGGGGCTTTCAGTGTGTCTATATAAATATCCAAGATCGAAAATGTTTAATTTCAATTTTTTTGAGGAGGAAACTGTGGATAGTGATTTAAATAAGGAATCCGTAGCTGAAGTTTATTGCATCCCTTGCCGCAAACTCGGGAAAAAAGTAAATATAAAAATGAATGTAGATATTTGTTTTTTTATTATGCATATAATAAATATTTATTCTCAACTTATTAATAAAGAAATTTATAATTAAATCACTGTTTTTTTTTTTTTTTTGTATTTTCAAACACACACGCATATTATATTCTAGAATGACATTCTTTATAAATAGCATTTTCCTTATATTTTTATTTAAAATTATTTTTTATTTGTCTGTTTAATGTTCATCACGATGAAATTAATCAAAGTTTATAAGAGGAGTCTGATCAGACATGGGTTGGCGTGATAATGAATAAAGTAATTCAAATAATTCGTCAAATAAATGACGAAAAAAATAATAATTACCATTTCAAATCATAATGACAATGAAGATAAAGAATTACTGACAATGTTAAATATCCTGATAAATAGGGAAAATTTGAAACGTTCATTCAACTTGTATAAAATGGACAACATGGAAAATGATTTGAATATGAATTCTATCCACAAATTAGTTGTAAATAGAATAATACATTTTTCTAAAATAGATAATTAAATTGTAATCAAAAATACTTATTTAAAATTCACACTTGAAATAGACTTTAATAATATAGTGCTGTAATCTTTATGTATTATTTCTTAAATGTATTTTGTTTTTTCGGAACCTATCTTCGTCAATTCTTTATCGAATCCAATGATTAAGTTCCCATTTTGAAGATATTCTTCTCCTTCAGGTGGGAAAAATAGCCATATCTCCCCGAAATTTCAGGGAAAAAAGTTATGAAGGAAACCAAACAACAATAACTCATCAATGCGAATAACTCAAAAAATATACATTTTTTTTGTTGATTGTACCCATGATTATTTGGAAGATTTCTAAATTTAAAAAAATCGAATTCCGCCCATTAGTAGCTGAGATACAGGTTATTTTGATTCGTAAACGTTTTGGTTTAAAACATAAATGAAGTTTTATAATAGTTTTCTTTTCTTTCGTCAATTACAATTACTGCAAAAATAAGAAATGGTTCCTCCATCTCATTGCACGTTGTTTTTTTTTTTTTTTCAATTTCTTGATTATTTTGTTGTTTGTTCAGTGAATAATATTCTTTTCCAACTAGCAGTACTTAATATAAGTATTGAAAAAATAACATGCATAATCAATAATTATGTGCTGATAACTGGCACGATAGATTTTCTTTATAAGATCTGTAATTATTTCCATGGAGCTTAAAAATTTAAGAATTAAGATTACGACCTCTAGAATAAAAAATTGTTTCATTATTAAGTAAAAGCAATTTTAGGAATGACATGACTTAAAATATGTAACTCAATTTTCAGGAGAGGGGAGAGATTGTTTCTGTAGGTCGGAGCCTTTGCTGGCAGTACATGAGATCACGCCTGAAGAGAAGCGGCCTCTTCACAAAAAAGCGAGGACTTCAACGCCTAAGAAGCAGTCTTTCTCTTGGACATGGATCCGTCGTCCCGAGGGTCTTGCCTGCCCTGCTTGCTCTCGGTGCAGAGCTTGAACGGTTACGCCCTGATGTAAGCTTCCAATGTTTTGATATAATTTCTGTTTAACATTTTGTATATTTTTCAATGTATTAATATTCTTATAGAACTAAAAACATTTTTATTCATAGGCCCATTAAAGACATACTATCTCTTAAGAAAAAAGCCTCTGAAGACAATATGAACCATGTGATTCATACCAGTAACAGCAAGAAGTTCATGGTTTTTATTAGTATTTATGGGAGGGCACAAGATCACATGATCACACCATAAATGGCATTCCAAGAATGGCCCATGTAGTATGCTTGAATGTATTGACGTATCCTTAAGTTTAATCTCCTTTTATTTAAATAACGATTTACGATCTTCACAAACTTCCTACTGCTCATTTTCAATTAAATTCCGAATATTAGTAATAATTAATAATGCCGCTGATTTCGACTTCCGCTCGCTCAAAAGCGATAAATAAACACTTCAACTGTTTTTATTTTAAATTGAGGTCGAGGTCTTACCAGTAGGGATGGGCAATTCCGACTGCTGATAGGGACGGAACGAAACTGAATTCTCCACCACTGGAATTCGTTCCATTTCTCGTTCCATTCAGAAAAACACCTTAAACGAGATAGAGAATAATGATACAGATATACCTAATGCTAAAACGTTTTTAGACGACAGAAAAATCTTCATGATTGAAGAAAATGAAGATAAACGGGAACAAGTACAGGAAAATAAAACGAATGCTTTAGGTAGGAACATCACCAGTAAAGAAATGGTGAGTATTATATTAAGTATGGTTTGTAAAGAAATATTAACTAGTTTACTAGCTTCTTCCAGCAGGGCTGGATGAAATGTTGTAGTGAAGACCTACAACGTTTATTCATAATATTGAGGAGCCCTAAACATTTGCGGCATCAAACGAATAACAAACAATTATTTCTGGCGCCAAACATAAAACAGTACTAGATAAATACAAAATAACGATAAACAGAACTCAAAGAGGGACTCCTCCTCCCCTCCATTCATTCTACCCTGATATAAAAGCACAAAACATTTATGTTGTGGAATCATTGAAGGAGCGGAAATAAGCGAATACAGAATAATTATTTTGGGATTATTAGAAAATTATAAAACAATGATTTTGGGCACCTTCTGGGGTGGTTATGGGGGGAGGGGGGAGGGCTTCTGTGGCCCATGGACCCTCGACGATCGTCGACCTGACCTGGTATCCAAACCAGAAGATTGAATATATAAAAACCAACAAACACATTTCACTTCAATATCTTTGTTGAACAAATACTAACCTAATTGATACTTAAAATCAAAACAATTATTTTATATTTTTGTTTAATTGATTAATTAAATAAATAATTAAGACATTTTATAATTGAATTATTATATGTTTATCCCTTAGGTTTACACAGGAGTTAGCAGGCAGGTGGGAAATGAGCCTGGCATGGCTCTTCGTGCGGTTGGAAAGCAGTTATTCATGATAGGTATGTCCTGGCCCAGACTCGTCTCATTGTTTGCTGTCGCTGGTGGACTCGCCTGTGATACTGTTCGTGCTGGCCATCCAGAACAGATGACACAGATAGCAGATGCTATGGCAGATCTTGTCGATGAGGAACTAGCTTCGTGGATAGCAGACAATGGAGGATGGGTGAGGCTCATTACTTTCATGCTAATTATCTATCATTTAAGCTCAAATAAGATTTACCTACAAGGTGGATTGTTAGTTTACTTTAATTGTTTTGTGTTTAAAATATAAATTCATACCATTCAGTTGGAATCAAATTGAAAAATAAAGCAAATTATAATTACATTAGTTGTCTCCATTAATTAATTTTATAACTGAATATTCAATGTTATTTAGATGGGATTGTGCCAATACTGGAAACCTGTCAGCGAAGAACCAGCTTTTGGACACTACGTTGGACTCTTGGCAGTCCTTCTTCTGGTTATGTTTCTTGTTGCAGTTGCAGTTAGAGTTATATCCTCATCTGCATAGAACCTATATAATTTTGACACTGCAGCCAGATATAGCTATTGAAATGAGAAAATATACTTAGACATGAGGGTTATCGTATGAACAATGATTTTCTCTGCATTTAAATTAATCAATAATTATTTTTTAATTTAAAATAATGATGTAAACCATTTATCATATTTTGATTTATGTGTTCGATTGCATAAGATAAGAAAAATAATTATAGACAAAAATTGAATCTCGCTAAAATAAATATAGGGAATACACAAATGTACAGTAGTTATAAAAAAGTGAAGAATAATGCTTTAGGATTCAAGTTTAATATATTTTAAAATGTTGCTACCAATTTTAATAAATGACTGTAGTCTGTAAACTCTGAGGGTAGGTAATCTTTTATTTAAAGATACCCATAAGTTATCAGAAGCATGATTACATTTTAATAGTGTGTAAATGATTATACTTAATAAAATGTTGTTTAAACCAATGTTATTATTAATTAGATATCAATTTGTAAATAAATAAGTATCTATGTAATATAAAATTTAATATTTTTAAAAAAAACTATAGACTGTAATTAGACATAGCTAATGAGAAAATTGTTTAATAAGTTGTATAAAATTATGACTGTACTTACTAAAATATTGTTGTTACAACTATGATTATTTATTGTGAATTTTTAATGTTGATGTTTAGTTTGATAAGATGTAAGTTATATACCTCTTTTTTAAAATTAATGTTCAATAAAACTGTGATAGAATAACTATTATCTTGACGCATGTTAAAAAAAAAAAAAGGGTGAGATGTGCCATTTATATTTTGTTTTTATTTATGTATAATCTTCTTGATGTCTAAACTATATTACTGTTAGTAGTATATATATTTTTATTTATTTAAATAACCATCGGCTATTTATACATTGAACATAAATTATTTGATATCTGTAAGCAATTTATTAAATAGTCTATAATAAGTGCTAACGAATAGATAGCTCCTAATTTAGAAAGTAGATTTCAATAGTGTCTGCAACTTGAGATGAAATCTATCTAACTGTTAGTAGTATGTATATTTTTTATTTATTTAAATAGCCATCGGCTATTTATATATTGAACATAAATTATTTGATATCTGTAAGCAATTTATTAAATAATCTATATTAAGTGCTACCGAATAGATAGCTTCTAATTTAGAAAGTAAATTTCAATTGTGTCTGCAACTTAAGATGAAATATGTGTTTTGTTGGTAAAAAGGATTTTTCAATAAATGAAATATTATTATTTCTTTAGATTTATTTACAGTTCTTAAAATAAGATAAATTAATAAATATAAATAAACATTTAAATTTGAAACAAAATTTAAATATAGATAGATTACATAGCCATTTATCACACAAGAATATTTTTAACATAGTAATTTTTTAGACAACTTCGTCATAGCTTTTCTAATCAAGCGATAACAAACTGTATGAAACAAATATTATTAAATAAAGAATGAGATGGAACAATCCAATGAAATTTAGATTTTTTTTTTTATTATCAAATAGTGATTATTAGGTAGATATATTTACACTTTTTAACAATTGTTTTGCTTAAAACTTTTTTCTATGATAAACGATAAATAATTTTCTTTTCTCATTATACAATTATACACTATAATATTATAAGCTAGGTATTGTTGACAGACTTCACAAATACAGATAATAGATAAGAAGACCACCCAGCTTGCTGAAATAAGACAAGTTTCAGAACTGGACAATTTTAGGAAGCTTTTTACAAAATAAAATTAAATGATTGGACTTCAAACAGTTTATTGTTAGTCTTTCCCAGAGAATTTTCATCGTTGACAGTAAAAAAGCAAACTAAAACAGACACTTATTGAGCTATTCAAGGATTTGTTTTATTTTTCATACATTCTAATACACAACTCTATAAGAAATCTCTTTCTTTCTTTTCCAAATTAGAGTACATAGACTTTTTCATGGATATTGTCATATATTATCTTCTAATCAATTGAAAGAAAAAATCACAAAGTAAAATTAATAAGATAATTTCAAATAAAATTAAAAGTATATCAGGACATTTCATCTGTCAAGGAATGTTCATACATATATATTACATTCACAAAATACCTACAAAAAAACACGATTTCCTTGAATAATTTTTTACTGAATATCATTTAAAAAGTAATTAAATGAAAGCTTTAATATGCCAAAACTATTGGTGTTTATTAAATAAGTAATTTCATAAAAATGAAAATTAGATGAGGATAATTAGATATGATAACATATTCAAAATTATTCTCAAAATAAATTATAATCCAAAAAGTACCTATCACTCGAAATAGATATACTGAGGTTATTTTACTTAAGAATATCAGTTGCATGTAAACCAAGCATAAATAAATAAAAAACTTAATAGAATGGCAGTTAAAATAATATCATCACATTATGATTGTAATATCATACATATAAAATGAATAGGCTATGAATAATTTACAAGGAATAAAACTCAATATTCAGATTGAAACAATCCAAATTTGAATACCATCTTCTTATGTGGGTATGCACCAAAAACTTAAGCATTTCATTGAATTTATATCATATAAAAAAAAGAAAAGAAAGTAATAACGAGTAATGAAAGCTAGAGAGAATCAGAAAAGAAAGTTAACTTATTAATTTACCTAAATCTAATTTAAAGCATAAAGTTTTGGGTATAATCATATTCTATTGTTGGAATAACAGATTGAACAAATTTGAGAAATATTATCAGGTACATATGAACTCCAAGCTCGCCACCTCCTTCTAAAACAGTTTCTATAATTTTTTTCATCACAACAGCATGTCTGCAATAAAAAAAATAAAAGTAATGATCATATTCCATTAAAATTATTAAATTCACATAATAACTTATTAAGGTGTATGAAAAGAGGTGATAGATTTGGGGTGGATGGTCAACCTTTAATTTTGGTCAGGGGTCAATATAATACAAGAAGTCAATATTAAATAACTGCATTATTAATGATTCCAAGATGAATTATATAGGAGAAGGAGTGAATCCCTAAAATCGAAGAATATTTCTTTGAGTGTCCAACAATGCTCTTATCTGAAATCTCAAATTGTCATGAAAAATAAAATGCCACTTGAAATAAATCGGAGAGTAGTAGCTACCAACTACCAACCGATACTATTTTGGCCACTACTCCATGCTATCATGGATCTATTTTTTTTCTGGCAGTCAACTATAGAATTCATAACTCTTCAAGATTCTCTTCAAATTCAAAGTTAGTATAACCATTGGAAAGCTGAATTACTGATATTTCGACGAACATCAATAATTTTTTGGATTTCATACCATTTTAAGGATTAATCTAGAAATACAGAAAAACTTCTCAAACATTTTTATTTTATATCATTAGTTCTAATTTGTTTACAGTGTTGTTGGTTATAGTGTGTGGTATACCATTTTGTGTACCATTTATAGCCCTAAATCTCTAACAATTTTTGTATAGATTGGTGGAGCCATTTTAAAGTTATCACATTTTTTTTTGTGGTTGTAGACAAAATTTTGAAGGGCCAGTCACTTTTGGGCAGAAACTTTTAATTTTTCTATTGCTATAAACATTTGTATTTAATGGTTAAGGTACGAAAAACAATTATCAACTTTGTTTCTCCCTAAAAAAAATATTTACTCCCACATTGCTGTGTCAGTTGGTCGGAATTGTGCCCATATAATAGCTATCTGCCAAATATAATGACTATAGTATTATTCAAAACCAGTAAGGTATCTAGAATAAATATATTTTCTGCAAGAAAGTTTTGCCTAAGCTGAACCCTTCAAAATTTTTAAGGCAACCACAAAAATTGTGGTAACTTTAGATGGCTCCACGGATCTACAAAAAAATTATTAGGGATTTAAGGCTCTATATGCTACACGAAATAGTACAAAATCAATCTTGGTAAACAAATTAGAACAAAAATATAGGATAAAAATGATTGAGAAGTTTTTCTTAATTTATAGTCCAAAAATAATTTAAATCTTAATTGAATTTTGAGAAAATCCTGAGCAGTTGTGAATGCTTCAGTTATCGACAGGAAAAATATCTTCAGTATTCAATTTTACAATTTTTGATTTCTTTAAAATTATGTATTCAAAAGTTTCTAAGGGCACTTGAAACGAATGAAATTTGCTTTTTCATAACAAAAATTTACTTTACCTGCGTTATGTGAAACGCCTTTTGGTTTTTATAATTTATGATACATTATAACTCATTTAATATAATAGTAAATATTATTTTTTGGTTATGCACAAAAAAATGATAGTATTAATAACTAAAAAATCTGGTCACAGCAAAAGAAAATAAACAACATGAATTTTGTTTGAAATTATATAATAAATTTTTTTCCTTGGCTACTAGGGCCTATTGGAATAAATGGCGGGATGTGTCCAATATTTTTCAATGTAATATCATAAAAAAAAAAAAAATGGTTGTAATCGGTGACCCACTGATTGTAGCATCCCCATGAAGGTACTGTCAAAGAGTACAATTGAATAAACAAGGTTTTACAATGGGATCCCATTGATTTGATAATAAGCTTTTGAAGTACATTTGACTTCAGGCAGAAATCCTGGACCCCACCATTTGAGGGAAGTTCAGAGAAGAAATACATTTTACTTTTGCGTTCATAAAACCTAAGACTAGCATTTGAACAATAATGACAAGTAATTTTGAGATGAACTGATGAAAAAATATCTACCAGTCGCCCAGAGGCTTGGAGAGGGATGATTCAAAGTAGGTTCCTTTCATTTCTTGGCAAAACCCGGAGGGAATTCAACATTACTGCCTTTGAAATTCTGAATTTTGAAATCAGCAAGCAGCAACCGCAATGTTTAATGAATTTTCAAAACAATTTTTGTTTTTATTCTCAGATACTATTAAATCAAACTCCTCAATTCTCCAGTTGTACTCGTGAATCAGGAAAGGTTGAGTAATATCCTGTTGGGTTTTTAGAAAAATTAATTTTTGCTACCTGAGTCTGTTAAAAAGTTCAAAGGCCATTTTCTGACCTTATTACGAGAAATAGCACCTGATTCCTTTAATTTAATTCAGTAAAGCAAACACATTTAGAATATAAATCTAATCGATTAACCACAAATAAACATTTTAGAAGAGTCATCCCCACACATGCTATAATTATTTTAAAGCCAGAACTAATTGAAATAATAAAATAGGGTTACTGGAAAGGAAAACAGAAGAAAGTTCAAACTTGTGCATCCAACCACACTTTGTTATATGTCTGGAAAACATTGCCTCTCAACAGCTGTAGTAAACATTATTTATACAAATTGATTTTTTAATTAATTTTGACCTCTTTTCTACAAGAAAAAAATATAGCTGCAATAGTTAAATTGAAACTTTGAATGAAAAAATAAAGGAAAAAGAAAATGTAACAAAATTTCAAAAAATCAAGTAACTAAACTTTGAGAAAAAAAATGTTCAGTTTTTGCGTTCTAACACAACTTCTGACTTTATTAAGGCCAATACAATTATTAAATCATGTTTACTTTTAGATATTTGTTTTTTTTAAAAAATAAGGGTTAATTCCAATTTGTGAAGAAATATATTACATATGGATATATTACATATAGGTATTTTTGGAAATGTTGATGTAATTTAAACATTTTCAAAAATTATCAAAAGAATGTCTATAATGAGGAATTAGAACTAAATGATTTAATTATATTCAACAATGACCAATGTATTTTATTGTGAATATATTTGTCATTTCAGAAATACTTAAATAAAAAGTTACCTGCAAGGGTGAACAGAAGCCATAGGTGGACCAGGCAAATGTGGATGAGTTTCCATAGTAACAGTTTTTTTTGCATGATCCTGGCTGACATCATCATACATTTGTTCCTCAGTTAGAGGTTTACGATTCTAATTAATAATAATCATAAGAATTATTATACAATAATAAAAATAAAAACTATAATCATATTAAGATATTCTGAATGAATCAATAATAATTGAACCATGGAAATTCAAAAGGCTTAAGTACCCTTCAGCAAATGTTTTTAGAGTATTCCAATAATATTAAATTAATATGATTATTAATTATCATCTGAAATAGAATGAATAATAAAATCATATTTATAACAGTAGGAACTTGGCACAAAGACTTGTTTCAGTGAAAGCACTAAAAAAAAAACCTTTTGCATTTCCATTTTTCAATTTATTTTTATTTTTGACTAATTACATAAAATCAAAGTATAAAGCAAATAAAAAATACCTGACCACAAAAAGCATTTATTTATTTTATGCCTAAAAATGCCAATTGATACAACTAAACTAATTTTCTATTCCTAAATGAATAACACTACATAAGTGAATTCAAATAAATTAGGTTTCTTATCTTACAATTATAGTAGTTTTTAATAATTAATAACAAGAAAAAACATTTTTTTTACTACTTATTATTATGATCTATGGAGAGATGGGTTCAAATTCCAAGACAAGTGTTAATTAGTAAGATTAAATCAATATTTGGGTCCACTTAATTTAAAAAGTAATAGAGCCCAGAACCCCTAATAACGATCAAATGTTTGACCAACAAACAAAACAGCTTTTTACACTTGTTACTATTTTGGAAGCATTCTATAACCAAATTGCTTTTTTCAAAAGATTATAGACTTTTAGAATTAAAAAAAAAAATTTAATAATTCAACAACAGCTGCTTTCCAAGAACCTGATACAAAAGTACATTTCATTTTGAAAAAGTAATCAACTGAATAATATGTATTGTAATAATGAAGGATTAACACTACAAATAGGGATAGAGTATGACTACATACTTAAAAATGACAAGTTTGAAAATACTTAATGGAAGGGTGGAGGTTGGATGGTAGAAAATGTGATTATACTTGGCTGTGTGTAATTACTATATGTGTATGCTTGTCTTTTCTAAAGGTGACTGTTAGAAATCTAAAAAAATTAAATAATTCCACACATTATTGTGTTCTCAAGTACCATCAACCCATTATACAGTGGCCAGCAAAAGTTTTTATACAGTCTGATAGGAGATAAAAAAATCAACAAAAATAATTCTTTATTATATATATATATATATATATATATATATATATATATATATATATTTCATGGTTTCATCTAAAAATATTTCTGCTTTGGATTGGTCATGGTATTTGTAGATAATACTTAGTATTTATGGAATTTTATAATCTTTTTTACCTTTAATAATCAAAATGTGATTGGGTAAGAAAGATTAGAGAAAAAAAAAATTGAAAAACGAACCATTATTATTCTAAAAGAAATTAATTACATCATCGTTTAGTAGCGCGTGTTTCCTCCTCTTGCCTCGGCATACTTTCCACCTGTCGGGAAATGTCCCTTTGCTGGAGGATAGCCCATTCCTCCCGAAGAGCCCTTTCAAGGTCCTAAAGTGTATCAGGAAGTGTTGCACGCGCTCTTATTCGTCTTCTGAGGTTATCCCATAAATGCTCAATGGAGTTCAAATCTGGAGAACGTGCTGGCCAGGCTAAAACCTCAATATTGTTCTGTTGAAGGAACGTCTGCACTACTGCACTATGCGGGCGACATGTGGGCGTGCATTAGAATAGAACGATCGCCGATTTCGTTGAGGATAGGCCCATACCATTAAGGAACCACGTTGGAAAAGTTGGTGCTGGGAAAAATTACAGGCTGCATATCTTTCGTTTCTTCTTCTCCACACCCTTTCACGCCCGTCTGGAGATCGAACAGCGAATCTTGACTCATCTGTTAAACGTACAGCACTCCATTCGTCCATAGTCCAATGGCTATGTTCTCGAGCAAAAGCCAGCCGTGTTACTCTGTGAGTTCTGGTCAACTCTGGTCCTCTTATTGGACGAAAAGCCATTAATCCATACTCATTTAATCTTCTCCGAGCGGTACGTTCAGAAATTTGCACACCTCGAACTTCTTCGAGCTGATGAATCGCTTGAACAACGGTAAGGTGCCGGTTTCGTAAAATTCTCAAAGTCAAAAACCGGTCATCCCGTGGTTCTGTTACCCTAGGCGGTCCAGAACCTAGGGCCTTCTATTGTAAGAACCAGTTTCCCGAAAACGCTTGACGGCGTCTCGTAAACTTTCATATGGAACTCCGATGACATTAGCTGCATATCTAATGGAACGTCCATCATCAATAAGTGCCACACCACGCGCAACATTCTCAGCACTAAGAGGCATTTTTAAACTTAATATTGAAAAAATTAAAAGCCGGAGACTAAGAAATGTGCTGCAAGAAACGGCACTGAAATAATGATACTGAATAAACATTTTGATTCCATAGAAAGTAAACATTGGAATCTAGAATCATTTCATTGAATTAAGGATTAAGGATTATTGTCCTCTATATTAACATTCCTAATTGAAAAAAAAACAAAAAGATTACCTATTTATTCATTAAAAACAATAGACCAATCCAAAGCAGAAATATTTTTAGATGAAAACATGAAAAAATCAAGTGCTCTCCTGTAAAACACTCAATTTTTACATACTACATAATTTTTGCACTAACAGTAGCGAGATATATATCCACTGAATTTTTTTTTAAATTATAAATTATCAAATATGCAATTTGCAAATACGGAACTTTTTTGCATTTTAATATTTGCTGATAAACAAAACTCGTGGATATCAGCCCTGTATATGTTGAGAGGTTACTGAATTTCCGAATGCGGCTTCTTCCAGAGATTTTATTCTCATAAGAAAATTTTTAGAGCTTTTAATATAGATATTTTTTAGCAAATGAAAATGATGAGGAAGTTATACTGACCTTACTTGGCAAACTTTTTTTTTTTTAAAAGCACTGAAACTAAATAGTTGGAACCTAAAAAATTGTGGTGACAAAAATTGTCTGCGCTGTTCAGTAATTTTGTTCTATAAAGTGTTAAGCAGTATGAGATTACAGTTTGTAGAGTCAGGTCCAGGTGTCGTGATCTTGCACCAACTCTCATCGACTCTGATCTATGGCTCGCTTCGCTAGTGCCTAGTGGACACTAGCTTTCCAGAAGATGCAGGATCTTCCTCTCTGTATCCTTCCTTCCACATTGGTTTTATAGATTTTCCTAATCCATCCTGAAGTGATGTCCGAACCACCTTAATTTCTTTTCCTCCAGACTCATTTGGTTGAGTTCTGGACCCTATCTTTTATCTTCCCTTCCCAATATTTTTCAGAGTAGTCGTACACAAGATAGAAAGAAACATCAATTTTTATTTGGTTATTTTGACTTTCTTTGTAGCTATTATTTTTTGAGGTTTATTTAATATTTGCAAGCATTTAGTCTTTCCTTGGTTAATTTACAAATTTATTGCTGTTAGATAAAATAATACTTGTGAGTGAAAAATCTTTTATTTAATCATATACTAACAATATATAGTACAAAAATGGGCATCACTAGAGATTTTTCAATCAAAACAAATCAGTTTGCCAGCCTGGAGGATGGCGATGATAACCATAATTTCATAAATAAACGAATAAAATTAAACTACTTACTTCATCATATCCAAACAACCAGAGACGAGGAGTTTGATAATACTTGTCATATGTAATATGAAGATCATATGTCCTTGTTTTCAAGATCTCACCCCCTATGTAGGATTTCACTTTTTCTTTAGCTACAGTACTCTAAAAAATAACCAGAAGATACAACCATTGCAAAAGAAATAAATTAAAGAAAATATAAACACATTCTTATCAACTTTAATTTATATTAATTTCCATCAAGAAAGTATAGATGTTGAGATATACTGATTTCAAAACCATACCCAAACATCTTTGCAGCCGATCTAAGGGAAATCCATACTTTGCTAGTTCAAATTTGGTCTAGAGAAGGAAACGAGCTTTTACTTTGAGAGACAGAACATATATAAGTCATGTAATTTGTATAAAATTCTAGTCCTGTTATGAGCATAGTTAATTATATTTAACTATATCACAGAATCAAAAAATCTGAAAGTATGAACAGTATGTTGCTGGAATGCAACAGACATGACTGAAATACAACCATGCACTTTAACAGCGGCTTACCTTCTCATAATTAACACCTCTAGATGAAATCTATAGACAATTTAATTCTCTTTCAAATTAAATCTCTTGCTTTTCTTTGAGAAATACTAAGATTATGAGTTGTTAAGGAAAAACTGAGGAAGAAAGCTATTTCTCGTGAGATGCACAAATAGTCAACTTCCATTAACTCCACACCTATTACATTAAAAATTAAGTTTGGAATTTATGGTAAGTTAAATCTTCTTTAACTTTATTAGTTAATTTTAGACTTTTTATATATTCTTATAAGTTCAGGATTTTTTTTACCATTAACAGTCTCAATTTTATTATAAAACTTCATTTGGAGAGAAGCTTTCGGTGTCCTTGCACCATGTTCATCTCTATAATTATAATACTCCAATTAGGATAAATTAAATAATAGTAAGTTAAATAAGTTAGAGTAATTTTAGTTGCCAAATAGTAGCGATAATGTAGAGAGTGCTGACAGTAAATCCTTAGTACTCAGTAAGATAGGGTCTGACAAAGAGCAAGAACACTATTCTTATCCTTTATGTTTTTTAAATAAACAGAAATAATAAAAGGTGTGGCATGATCCGATAATAATTGCATGACATTTCAAAAATTATTTAATACATATATTGTTAATGTTATTAATTAACTATTTCAATTAATAATTAATTTAATATAATTAATTATTTGAATTTTTCCACATACAACTACCACTTGACGGTACCATAGATGGGCATAATCAATACGATTATGGTAATTATGATTATGTGATTACATGATTACTATCGTAATTAGGTCTTCGATTACAATTGTAATTAGCTAATCAGATAATCCTATCACAATTTCGCTACATTTATATTGCTATTGAATCAAGTATAAAATAAGTATAAAAACAATACTCTTTTTTTACTGAAATATTTGAAAGAAAAAAAAAAGGACAATAAACCTTCCATAGAATTTTGTGATTTTTTTTTTTTTAGATGTTTTGTGGTGCTAACTTCATTGTAGTAGTTTGTTGTGAGGTATTCAGTTTTACTAGAGATTTCTTTTTATTTCAACAATCTAGAATAGCATTAAGTTTTTTTTTTGTTTTTTTTTTAAACTAATTTTAAGACTAAGAACTTTTTTTCACTGATTGTAGAAATTATCCTTAACCTTATATTATTATCTCTGCTAATGTTTACGTGTTAATATTTTTCATAATAAATCAGTTATATTGTTTTAACATATTAAATGTTAACAATAAAATAACGTATAGAAAAATTTAGCAATACCATGAAAAACGTATGCAGATGAATATCATAAATTTACTGCAGCTCATGTTAACTTTTTTAAAATGAGAAATGATGTACCGTAATAAGAAAAAAAAAAAATCAAAAAATACTAAATTTTTATATCACATCACCAGATTAGATTTTTTAAATTTTTAATGGAGGAAAACTTTTAAGAATATTTTTGTGAATTAATGTCTTATTTAGCTGGAAAACATAGAAAGTACATAAAAAAATCAATATATCACCTTTTAATATATCAAAAATATTTACATAATATGCAAAATGGTTTGGTTTTATATAGGGAATATTTCATGAAATGTCAATGACTTTTTACAATACATTTGTGAAAAATTTACCTTGTCTTGTTCATCCAAAAGACCACTTTCTTCAAATTCTTCCATATCACAAGCTTCTTCATCATCATCATCGTCATCATCATTATTCCCATCATTGCCATTTTTTTTATCTTGTTCATCCTTTGAAAAATAAATAGAAATGAATCTTCTTCATGAATAATCTAAGTATATGTATATATCTAAATTCTGATATAAAGTATACATATAAATTCTGATATTACTAAAACAAATAAAAATAAATAAATAAAGATAGCCAACAATTGGAAAAATGAGGATCTACATATGAGAAGGAGTTCTGCTCGAGCCAGCGACAAAGACATATCGGCTCGGTTTTTTTCACCCAATCGAGCTGATAATCGACACATGAGCGAAGCCGTATGCTGGAGATCTATTTTTTGAGTTTGGAGAAAATCAAGCAAAGATCTTCCCAGGATCAGAAGGCAAAGGAATTACAGTACTTGTGGGACTGGGGTTCTTATCGCTGTGCAGCATAGGACTTGTCGTCCCCCACCACTTCTCAGCATCCGCCTCCAGCAAGGCCAGTGTCGCCTTATCAATACCAACAGTGGTCAATGAAAGAGCCCAACCTATTTTGTTGTTAGTCAGTTCATCTTATCCTTTATTTTATTAATTTTTTTCCTCTCTCCTCTCTTGATTAAGAAAAAAAAAAATATTTGCTGTAATACATCTTTAAAAACGGTTTTCGCTTTAGAATAAAAATTGACTGATCACTTGTTAGCTTAATTATTAAAATTAATTAATTATTATTTAAAAAAAAATATTCAGCTTTACCAATTGATTGATTTATTCAATTTTATTTATTATTTATTCAGTGGACGTATGTATACTTATTTTTCTTTATTTTTTAACAATATATTTTATAGATTTTAACTTTTTTCATTTATTAACTTATTTATTAATCTATTATTATTTAACTTAGATTTTATTAATTGTATATTTTAACTTGCTTTTAAGAAATTGATTTTATATATTTTAAATTTTTTATTATTATTTATTTTAACTTAATTTTGAGCAATAGATTCTATAAATATTAACTTAATTTTATATTTCAGCTTAGTTTTAAGATAGACTTTAACTAATTGATTAACTTTTTATTGTCTAACTTGGATTTTATATTGATATATTGATTTTTTAGCTTGTGTTCATTTTACATTTTACCTCTTTTTAAGCATTTGCTATTAATCTGATATTTAAGTGTTTATGTTGGCATATATGCATGTCTCTTCTGTTTAGTTTTTATTTATTTATATACAGGTTCACTCTCCTTTAAATAATTTGTTTTAATCATGCATGTGGTACACAAGGCTTTGGATGAAGAGATTAGATTTTGAATGGACCTAAGAACAATGAAAAAAATCGAAATTGGCCAGAGGGTAAGGGTTCTGAGAACTGGAGGACCTGCTCAGGAGGCTGTTGTTGCCTCGTTGATGTCGGCGGATGCTGCGGGAGGAGGCAAAAAGAAATAGGTAACAGTCGAATGCCTGACAGAGAAGGAATGATACTGGGAAAGACGTGGGATCATCGTTCTATATAAAGGAGAGCTGGAAACAGCGTTGCTCTCCCTTGAGAATGCAGAGTACATCCAAACATTGCAGAATGGAGATACAATCAAGTATAGAGTATGTATATTCTCAGTAGAGCTACAGTTCAATGAAGATTCGGTGATCAAATTGAACGAAAATCTTAATAAACTGGTAACCTCTTCCTTGCTTAAGCTGGAGCAGAAGCTAAACATTGTCAATCAGTATTTTTTCCCGGGTGTTACATACCATCTCCAAACTGCGTCCCTCACAAAGCTGCATCCTGCCGTACTTGACGGCATTGACACCATGATTCGCAGGAGTGTGAAGGCTATTGTTGGACTACCTGCGGAGACCTCCATGGCGATGTGATTAGGATTAATCCGCTGCCTTTGGGGAGCTCCTCTACAACATTGGTCCATTGCTTAGCAACTGTCCAAGGTGCCCAATGTCCTTTTCCAATCGATTTTTGATTATTCGGCTGAGGTTGCTGAATGTGCCAAGAGATTTGGAGTTGATCAGGGTACTCGGAATATCAGAGCTCTACGGCAATTGCAAAGAGAAATTTCGTTTGAGGAATGGGCCGATTGCAGGTGGCAGGGCATTGGAGTTCGCCATTTTAAAAAGAGACCCCGAAAGCGAATAAATACATGTACGATAAGCAAGTACTTTCTTGGTCTGAATGGTCAAATGCCCTGAAACTAATTATCAATTATGCACCTCTGCGTGAAGTCCCAGGTGTCAGCGGACAGGTAAGAGAAGTTGGGTCTCTTTGTCGCAAATGCGACAGAGAGCCAAAAACAGCAGCACATGTGCTGGTGGAGCTATGAAAAAAATGCCAAGAGTATACCAAAAAATTTAAACCTTTTACTACTAAATAAAAATAATTTCAAAAAATCTAACAGTGATTGGCAACCATCAAATGAATCTCTTACATATTTTCACCGATGTCTAATATACCTTCATCTCTTAAACTTAAGAGCTCGTTTATTTAAAATTTGTCACTCGCATCCCTTAGGCATCTCGTTATTAGTTAGTAGAAAATTATATAAAATACATCTCTATATTGAGTGCAGATGAGATAAGTAGACAAAGAATATAATAGTAATAATATTTTGAAAAAAGAGAGCAATCAAAGATTAAAATTTATATACAACCAAATTAAGATAAGAAACTAATATTTTCAAAATGAAAACTGGCTTATCTAGAACAAATATTTAAGTTCACTGTTAACAGGAGATAAACTTGTACTTCTGAATACAAGATTAGGAACATATTTGTATACCATTATGTAACTATTAATTAAGAAAAATATTTGAAATTAAAAAAAAAAGATATAATTTTAATGTTACAAAAGCATTTATAAAACAAACAATAATGAAACTTATTTAACACCCAGATGACTATTTACAATTTACATAATTAAATACTAGCCATTTCCCAATTCCAGAAAAAAGGTAAAAAGGATGGATGAAATATAACGAACTTGGTTCATAAAAAATGTATCACATAGATATTGGAACAAACATTGAAGATAATAAACTTAATAATTAATTAAACTCTGTTAATTATTTAGTATATAGTATTAGCTGTGAATTGCTATTCAAATATCTCGTTAACCACATTGTAGATGAAATCCTGAAAGTAGCTAAATATTGACAATCATGTTCATACATAATGACAGACAAATCATAATGACATATTTTCGTCTAAAAGCAATTATCTGAGAAAAGGTTAAAAAGTGCTTTTTCTTGGTGTTGTTTCATGATGGATAAAGCTCACTCTATTTTAATATTATATAAAATTATTATATCTAGCGTTATGATATAATTATATAACATTACTATGATACACATAGTTATATGATGCAGAATTCAATGGAGATATGGGTCTAAAAATTAATTAAATTTTTAATGTAGCAAGTCTTCAATTTAATTAGTATTATTTAATCCATAGGATCACAGTTATTATTTGTAGTTTTGCTAAATAATATGAAAGAAGAACGAATGGGAAACCTAAAAATTATGTTTATTTTGACAGTGAAAATTTCAATGACAGCTGACTAACATTTTGATAAGTCAGTTCACACTTTTATTTAAAAGAAGTGAACATGATAGGGACAGCCTAATCTAATGTAAATATTCTTCTACAAAGGATTGGGAATAGTTTTCTATAGCTACTTTTGGGCACACTCTATTTTAGGAATTCATCAATGATTTCTTGGATGTGATCTTGAACCCAACCACCATCCTGGAATAGGGATTTGATACTTATACCAATATATTATTATTAGTGCATTTTACTAAAGTAAGTAGTCCAGATTTTTAGTTTTAATTGAACATAAAAAGTACCTCAGCCTGAATATCAAATGACATGTCCGAGGCTTTTTCATCCAAAGGCTCTAAATGATGTGTATCAACCCAACCTCCATCAGAGTCATCAGCTTCTATTATTTTTTCCTGTTCTTCACAATATTCTATCTGTAAATATAACAGAAAAGTTGCAACCAAAAATTATGTTTTTTTTTTTTAATTATAAATCTAACTTAATCAATCTAAGTTAAAAAGATGAAAATTTCACAATGAAAAGAAGAACTTAAATAACACGACTATATTAATTAAAATGCTTAGTTTTAAAAGTGAAATGTAAAGTTCATTGAGATTTATAGTACTACTCCACAAGTGTCGCTGCACTTTGATGGGTGGGACAAATTCTCACAATGAGTGGTCGAATGTGTTCAGGAGTAAAACATCTCTTTAATTAGATCACGATTTAAGACTTATGCAAATTCCCTACAGGTTGTTTTAAGTTAAAATCAAGGCCTTAATTACCTTAAATTATATTGTTGCTTTTAGCTTCGGCTCACTTAGTAAGGATAAATAAACTCCCAGCAGGTGTCTACTTGCTGGACCATTTTCGTGAGAATCATCTGCTGAGTAATCATGAAATCTAGTGCTTACCCATCATGATGGAGCAACATTTGTAAAATAATCATTTTAAATAAATGAAATTTAAGACACAAAAGATAAATAAAAACGCATACCTTTTTTATTTAAGACTTAATAAAAGACTTACAGGTAATAAGTTAATTTATACTAATTCTTACTTGTTTACATCGCCTAGTGCAAGGAACATTTCTTGTAATGAGAAATTGTTTGTTTTTTGGAAGGTATGATTTAAGTCTAGCTTCATCTCCTGTCGCCCATTGCCAAGTAGGGCAATGATGAACTAAATGATCTCCAGCAGCAACAAATTCATCTGGAGTTATGACACCAGTTTCACGAAACTTAGATTCCTTTAAATATAAAAAACCAATGTGGGTAATTTGAATTGGAGATAAATGAGCTGACATTTTAATTGCGTAATTATATCACAAATAATTCAAAAATACCTTTAATACTGGGGTGAGATACTCAGCAACCCCCAATGCTGTTCCCTTCACAGTGTTTATAACACTTTGCATTATATCAAAATCTCCTCTTTTTTTTTAATCTAGTGAATATTCTCTTAAGAAAGTTGTAACGACGAAACTAACTGCAAATTTCACACCTTTTTTTAACTTTAAATATTTAGTTGAGAAATGGAATAACTTAAGGAGCATATAGAATAATTAAAATGAATTCCAATTATATTAATTCAAATGCCATTTCTCAAGAATAAATTCACACATTATCACTCGCTCATTATTTGAAGGTCATTTACGAACAATTTGCAGACATCATTTAATCAAGAGAGATCGAAGACTGCTATCAGAAGGAAAGTAGATGAAACTGTTTCCCCTGATTAATTCCAATTGTAACCTGTCACCAGCTGACTAATCACTGATAACGTTTTCGGTTTATGTCAGAATGTTTATAAAGTAAATTCTTTGAAAGTGTCTAATATCTATCGTAATTATCTGTGCCATGCCGGTATTCAATAACAAATTATTAAAATATTATTTAAGTAGAAAGTACATTGTCAGGTTTTAGTGGTGAGTCAAACTGTTTCATTATTTGTTAGTGCTAATTGCTTCCTATCCTCTTTGTTTCAAAATCAGTTTTATAATTAATTCAATTATTTTAAGGTACATATTAAAGAAATAAGTATTACTTTCTATTCATACCAGTATACCTTTACTACATACCAGTAGTTTTTTTTTACTCCCAAGTTAGTTATATAATTTTGTTTTTCATTTGTGTTGTTAGATAGCTCTGTTTTTACTTAATGTAAATTATCATTATTGCTGTCATTGAAAATTTAAATTATTTACTGAGTTGAACAGCGATTTTACATGTTTTAGATGTTCTATTAGAATCTCATTATTACATTTTATGTGTACAAGGGATTTGTAATTTCTTTAATTACCAATAATTCTATAAAAATTGATTTCACATTTTTTTTTCTCAGTCATTCACCCAGTTCTATTATTCCTTTATAGATATGATACTTACGAACTTTAGTAATTGAAAATATTACTGTAATGTATATATATATATATATATATATATATATATATATATATATATATATATATAAGTAGCTTGAAGGATATCTGGTGATAATTATATGATGATTAGCATAGATAATTAATAGTATTATTCTTAATTATGGAAATTGATTTTTACCTTAAATGATGCATTTTCATTTAAAACTTGCTAAACATAAACATGTCTTAACACTATTATAAAATGATATGATATATTTTCAATATATTAACAATTGATTCTCACGTTTTCAGGAAACCTTTAATGGAAGAAGTTCATAGGGAGCTACTCTCTTCCCTGAAGACTATAGTTGAGGGCCTGTTATCTTGTCAGGTGTAAATTTTTGTATGAACTTTAAGTATGACTATTACGGTATTGTTCCATTAATCTGGATCCCAACATTATTATGATTTTTAGGAGTATTATTATAATGCACCAATTGTTTCTGATATTTCTACTGACATCCAGTTAATCTGGATTTAAAAATCTCTTGAACTAAGTATAAGATAGAGAATGACAGCTGCCCAAGGGAGAGCTCAATGGTGGAGGTTTATTGAGAAGACTAAGCTTATTTTTTGTTCTCTCCTACCTCGCCTTTTAGGCTATACGGAGTGGTGAGGGGGGGGGGATTAATTTCAGAGTTGAAAAAAATCCACGGCACTGGTGCGTAAACTGGTAATTATTTTATTATCTATAATTTGGTTATCAGGTTATTGGGCAACGTGTGGTGCTGTGCACACACTTTAGCCCACTCTGCCACCACATCTCTGAGGATCCCAATCAAGGTACAACCAATCTTATTATAACCAGAGTGGGAAGGTTGAGATTCATTCCATGGGTCCACCAGAAAATAACTTTTAACCCTCCCAGGCCGGATTCAAACTGGCATTGCTAGACTTGAGAATATTAAAATTTACGCTGTATTACATTCGGCCATCATGACCTCAATAAATAATATTAGATAAAATAACAATATTATATAATTTGACAGTATTATGTCATCATATTATTATGTTATCTATTAACTCTGTAAATGAAAAAAAAAGTGAATTCATTTATTCTTTTAAAAATTAGCAGTTGTGTATTTATCCTAAGGTAAACTAATTTTCTTCTCTATGAATTGTAACAAAAATTTGTTTCAAAATAGAATTACTACCTGAAAAGAAATTTTATTTGATCCTGAATGTTAAATAGATTTGTGAAGTTTATTGAAAAGAGCTACAAAATTGGAAAGAAAAAGTAAGATTAATTATTTGTTTGTATCTGACAGTTGAAGTGTTCATTGCTACAGATTCAGTCAAGTATGAGATTAAATACAGACATAGGTTAAGTGTCAATATTCATCATATGGAGAATTTTACTTGTTACAATATTGGCGACGAATCAGAAGGTGGATTTGCTGGAAGTCATCAGGTCATTAAATACTTTATCCTGTAAGATGACTCAAATGGAAGGCTCAGTAGGTCTGCCTTATAAGTAAGGTGAGGATTGCAGAAGGCCTAAGAAAATTTTCTGGAAGGATAACAACAAAGAGTGGAATTGGTGGTGGGTGACAACCACAAAAGGTTCTACCTTGAAGTATTTTCTCACCATCCAGACTAGTTTAGGAGCAAAATGGATCATCGGGTCTTACAATTTCTTATGGGGCATGAAGGCTTTGAACCAATCTTAACGGCCTTGGAAAGGATATATTTTCCCTGTGAACTATATGCGCAATACCAGATACGATTAAGCATGATATTTTGAAACACCGCCTTTGAGAAACTGAGTGTAAAACTAGTAACAAAATCAGGAATCTGCAGTCTTACGAAGAGAAATTCCATCAGCTAGTGTATGAACAAAGCTACCTATATTGCAAAAATGTTTGCGTGGGTAGAAAAATGCAGTAGGATCGGAGCACTTCAACCTTGGAAGAAAAGTATTAGCTTGTGGTAAGCCTCGGACTGTAAAGAACAAAAAAAAAGTATTGAAGCTGAAATATGCAGACCCCCAACCACAGACTATGAAGTTTAAGTGGTTATGGATGACACATGTATACTCAGCCTAGTGCCTTTATGTTGCCGAAAGGCAAGATTTGGGAAAAATAAAAATTGAAATAAATACTAAGTTTATAGTTAAGAATTTTCCAGTGCTGCAATGATCTTATAAACATAACATTCTATGAAATAATGGATTAAAAATTTATTTGTCTAAATTGAGTTATTATTGTTTAAAGAAATCCCAATAAGGTATCATTCTGTACCATCAATCTTTAGAAAATAGAACTCTCCTGTTTTTTCTAGACGAAGGTGGGCCACATAATTGATGTTCAAGTGAATATTATATTTCTTTCCAATGTTCATTTCGTACTTTCTCAAATAATCCTGAAGTTTTATGTCTCCAAACATGCGAAACATGGCCGCTTACATTAATAGATGAGCAACTTCTTAAGGCTTTTGAAAATAAAGTATTGCATAGATGTTCAGACCAAAGAAGGATGAGTTGAACGGAGAATTCAGACGGTTACACAGTGCTGAATTGTGTAAACTGTATATGGTTAATTTAATTGAGGTGATTTCATTGTGGTGAATCAAATGGGCTCGTAAAATTATGGGGCTAGTAACGAAATAATTCATAAAAGGATAATATCTGCTGTACCGAATGGTGAACGTCCGAGGAGTAGACAGATTCGAAGGTGGGATGATTGCGTTAAAGCCGATCTAAAGGGACTGGGTGTGGATGGTGAAAGGTGTGTAATAAGCGATTGGTGGGGTCGGCCTCGAACCTTTGGGTTTCCTAAGCCTATTATTATTATTATTACTGGGTTTTTTTTCTAATCTGTTTTAGTTAAAATATTTTCTTGTGATATTGATTGATAAGATGACAGACATTATCCTGAGAGAGAAATACTTTATTCAAAGCATTTCTTCTACTGCCCTACAATATAGGGTTGGTTGATACACAGCATACTCATCAATCTTTTTTTTTTGGACATAGCACTTAATTATACTTGAATCACATATTTATATATATATATATATTATTTACCTTTTCCATATCACTCATTATATACAATATTAATATTATACTGTACCAACATAATCACTATTATACAATATATATAATATATTTCCAGTCCTGGAGAGCCGCATATCTCTACTATATCTATTATATAGTTATAGTTATATACTATATAACTATAACTATATCCGCATATCTCGTTGAACTATCACTATCAATGCAATAGACCTCTTCGAAGCATGTGAATTCCCTTTCCCTATGGAGCCTTATCAACTCGAATTTGACCTTATGGTGCCAGCGTGTTATGAGGGGGAAGTTGTTGGGGCATTTTCTCAGCACATGGATTAGTGTTTTAGACTCTCTGCCGCATTTACAATAGAGGGACCCAACTTCCTTCGACTGTCCACTGGCTCCTGGGACTCCATGCAATGGTGCATAGTTAATGTTAAGTTTTAAGGTGTTGGACCAGCTTTCTCTCTTTAAAATGCCTAACTCCAACGCCTTGCCACTTGCAACTGGCCCATTCTTCAAAATAATTCTCTCTCAGTGACTGTCGTAGAGCTCTCACACTTCATTAGTCCTGATCAACACCCAGTCTCTCCACACATTCAGCGATTTCAGTGTTATAATAAAAAAAAGCCTGAAACGGGGCATCCGGTACATTGGACAGTCATTGAGCAATAAACCAATGTTGCAAAAGAGCCCCTTATTGACAGCGGATCAGTCCCAATCCTCGATACCTCCTTGATACGTATAACATTGCTGATGATGTATTAGAGGGGAGCCCTATGATGGCCTTGCTACTTTTGTGGATATTTACATCAATTCCCTCCAATAACGCAGGACGTATCTTTGTAAGGGGAGGCATCGGGAGAGGGTATGTAAGTCCCAGGAACACACATAGATTGGCAAAATTGAATTTTTCTCCGATTTAAGAAGACAAGAGCTCACCAGTTTATCCAAATTGTCATTAAATTTTTTGAACTTTTCCTTATTCATCACTAGCTCTCCTGAGAACATGCATCCTAAATATTTTACAGTATCATCTGCCTTTGATGTGTGGATGACTTCTCCATTCTAAAGGGAGAGCTTTGTTTCTTGCAGCTCTCCTCTATCTATTATTAGGCCCATGCTTTCTTTGAATTAACAGCCAGACCATTCTCAGTGAAGATCCTCTGTACACAGTTAATTATCCTGTCTGCAGCACCCTTGTCGCGTGCTGTGATAGCCTGGTCATCTGCGAAGCCTGTGAGGACCACACATTCTTGGTCGCTGTTAGCTTATATCCGTAATGCTCGGAAAAGTCTTGCTCATACAGGTCACGGTATAGATGGTCTATAGCCAAGTTGAACAGTGAAGGCGACCAAGTTGAGCAAGCGAAACTCAAAAATTTGAATTTAATCCTTCAAGTTATTTGATTACTGATCTTAAATGAAAAAAGAACTCTTTATAATCTTAGCAGAAATTGAAACCTTATAATGACATCCTGAGGTTAAATAGTTATAAATCTTATAAATAATTATTTGTGTTGAAGATTTAATACATTTTCCTGTTTTTATCGTAGGTGGCTAATGTATGGAACGTATATGGAGGTCTCAATCGTTTACATACTATACTTCAAAGAATTTTAAAACATGAGTTCAAAATATTTAAAGACAATGTAAGTATCCTCTTAATTTCTCATATTTACTACTTTATGCAGGTTAATGTAAAGACTGATCATATAGAATGATAGGTATGATCCATCTTCAAAGTTCAAATTATTTGCCTACATTATTTTTTCATTGACCTATATATGGTATACATAGTAAGGAGAAGTATTATGATCATAAAAAATTTTGGATCTGATTTAAAGGAAATACACATTTTAATGACTCGTGATTGTGAATAACTAAGTCTTATTAAATTGTATGTTTCTGTTTGTGATAGCACAGAAATCAAAATATACATGATAATGAAATTATGTATTTAATGTGGGTATATGAAAATACACGTTTATTGCTTGATATTTAATATTTTATTCAAAATAATGTCCATTGCTAGATTGTACATTTTTCCCAACTCTGAAAATTTATAATGAATCCCTTGCCAAAAAAACAATATTTTATGGCAAACCAGTCATCAAGACACTTTTGTACATTTTCATGTGAAGTAAAACAGTACTGAGCAAATGCATGCCCCATCAATGCAAATAAATAGTTGTTGAACAGAGCCATAAATGTAAATGAATAGTAGTCAAACGGATCTGAGTCGGGTATGTAAGCTGCTTGAGCTTATATTTTCCAACTGAATGCCTCTATCATTTTTTTTTTACTGCTTTTGCTGTTTGTGATAGGGTTCATTACCATTCATATGTAAGCATTAACACTTTGTATTATCTTTTTTATATATTCTGATAGTTTTTCACGCACAACAATACAGTACTCGATCAAAATTGATTATTTGTTGTCAAAAGTGTTCAGTATTAATGGTTTTACCAGCTCCTTATAGATCACATTCTTCTGATCCCACCAAACAGAACATTGTCTTCTTTTCATAGTGGCTTGGCCTTGCAATCGATGTTGATGGTTTGCCTGGAATTTATCTATGATCTTCAATGCTTAGAATTCTATCCACTTTTCTTCACCTGTCACAATTCGATGAAGAAATTTCTTTTAATGTCGTTTCAGAGGTGGTTTTCCAGTTTTCTTGCTGTCTTTCATTCAGTTCGTGTGAAACCCATTTTCCCATCTTTTGAATCTTTTCCCATGGCTGTCAAATCTCTGAAGACCAATCATATCAAATTTTTTACAATGATATCTGATTAATTTCTCTATACTAATGAAAAATATTTTGTTATGATAAAAATAATTTCATTTCACTATAGATACAAGTGTTGTTGTTTCCAGATTATAGCTTATTTTTCTGTTTTAAAGAGAATGGGCTGTGAAAATTTATTTACTAATATTTCTGCATATTAGAGGTGAACATAAAACTAAAATTTCAACTTTCTCATTGATATGCTTTACTATTCATGCATTACTGATGATATTACTAATTCATAAAAATTAATTTTATCAAAATATTCATATATCTTGCTTGAACTCTTAATATTCTTCAGAACAGCTGGAAGAGGTTCACAGAACAGCAATTGAGGTTTTTATTTACAAAAGCCTGGATATGAATTACTATAAACTAGTTCTTAGAACAACCTACTTCAATAATGAATTCCATGTCCTTTTTTATTCTTTTGCAAATAAGAATTAATCTAATGTATTTAACATAATAGTATTTTTCAATTAGATGCATATTTGGTTTTAAGATCATATAGCTAAATAATATATATGCATATCACTTTTTCTTTTGTGATATAGGCCAGCTAATACCATGCTTACAACATTATTTCTCGGCTTTCATTCTATTTCAAAATTTTTTCTCTCATATCCTTTTTTCATTCTTCTTACCACTTCCTTCCTTCCTTTCTCCTCTTGTCTACATCTAGGACTGATTGTATTCACTGTTCCCCTAAATTTATCCCTATCTAGGAAATCATCTTCTAACCTTTTCACCAATTTACATTTACCGGATGATGCCTGAATTTGCGAAATGTTGAGTTATTTGATTATTTACCTACAGTTTAGAGACAGAGTGTACTTGCAATTTTCCAACTTATAATTTTATGAATTATTATTATGTTAAGAATTTGAAAATTATTATTTTAAGAATTATAATTCTAACTTACTAGCTTTTAAACATTTTTATTTATTTATTTGAACAAAATAATTTTAAGAATTTTCTATTATAATAATTTAGAAGGTGAAACATCACTTATTTTTCTAGATCTATAAGGAAAATTACATTTAGGAAAATGTACAAAAAACTTGTATAGCGAGAGTCAAGCACCCAATTAATTTTATTATGACATACTTAACTAATTCTGTTCTACTTCAAAGTATCTCTTCATAAAAGATATATCTAGATATAACCTACATCTATATATATATATATATATATATATATATATATATATATATATATATATATATAGATGTAGGTTATATCTAGATATATATATATATAGGTAGATAGGTAAATGTATATAGTCTTTTGTTACCTTAATTCTGAAGAAATGTTTGATGGCAGTTGATTTCCAATAGCAAAGTCTTACATTGATGTCGTTCTTTGTTGTTTTCTTCATCTAATGGATATAAACATGGTTTTATAATACAACAGAAAAATATTTTATAATAAATGAGTTTAATTATCACTATATAAAATAAGGCCCTAATATAATTTAATGTAGAGGAAAATAAGTGACCATATCAATTTTAGAATATTAATAGAAATACAACTCTGATCATTTTTAAATGACCTTGAATAGTAGTGTTTATTTTTTAGTACCTATTAACCCAAATAAATATTTTTATCTCCTTACATTAAAATAAGAACTCCAATTTAAGATTTTATGTCGAAATAAGTTAAAGCTTCACAATTATTGATATTGTTATGAAATATATATTTTCAATGGATTATGATTCAATAAACAAATTAAAAATTAACCATAAATTACTATGATTCGATTTCATATATATATATATATATATATATATATATATATATATATATATATATATATATATATATCTTTTAAATAGAATTAAATTTGTTTTTATTTGTTTATTCTTTTTATTTTTTTACCTCGTTATGTTTTCTTTTGTTAATAATGAAATATATATTAGTTTTTATCAGTTTAAATGTTAGACTTTTGAATAGTTAATGTTTTACAAAGCTTAATAAATATTATTTTTTGAATCTTTCAGCTTGGAGTTTGTTTAAAACATTAATTTAAAAAGCAATTCTAATGGTTACATATAATGCAACTTACATGTGTAAATGTTTGAAATTGTAATTTTATAGAAGTCATGAGTTCTGATGAACTGACAATGCCTTCAACACCGCAATGGCTTTATGTATGAAGTAATGTTATCAAACTGAGATGTTGAGACTGTTGTCAAGTAGAGGACTGTTCTGGTATTTCCTCACTCCTCATTTTTAACATTATCTGAATGTTTTGTCTGGACGACAATTCTCAGATATAGATAATTTTTTTATTTTATTATTATTCTTAAACTATATTCTTGAAGTTGTGTTTATTATGTATTTCATTGTATTGTTACTCTTTTATGATGCGTTTGCATTAGTTAAGTTACTATCACTTAATAAAAACTTACAAACCATTATTACTTTACTTATTTTTATTATATTAGGTATTAAAAGCATATTTTCAGTAAACTAACTGATTGTTTAAATACCATCTTGGATCTTGCAATAACTGTTTCTTATTTCCTTTTTTTTTTTTTTAATTCAGTTTATCATAATTTTAATATTATGATTATAAAAAAACTTTTTGTAGTAATTTAATTTAACAATTGAAAAAAAAAATCAAGCTTTCTTGTTTTCGAACAGCGCAATAAATGCAAATCAGATTTTAAGAATCAATGCTGTATCCCTGCTATCATAGTCCTGATTATCTCAGACTGTCTTATATTTTGTGAATAATTATGGTTTCATGGCTTCACTGTTTTTCGTAAGATTTTTCTGTTTACTTATTTATTTCTCAATTCTCACTTTTATTTATTTTTAGGGTGAAGAAGATTGCTGGAAATTTGTGGAAGGACTTTCATGGCTTCAACCAAACCTTGCTTCCTCGCCAACTCCCATATCTGCTTCTTCTTCTCCTATGCACCAGCACACTGATCCAGCGATGGTTTGGTTACATAACAGGTCAATTATATATTTACATTTATAAAATAATTATTTGCTTTAATGTTTTAGTGTTAAATTTGAAATAAATAAATTATACTCTCACTATTTCATAGTGATATATATATATATATATATATATATATATATATATATATATATATATATAAATATATATTATATTAGTCTGTTATATTACATATTAGTCTGTTTCAAGGACAAAGTAGAGTTAATGAACTGAAGTGATTTTGGATTAAGGAATAGAATAAGTGGTTTATTGAACCTAGATTGTAGATTACGATCTGTCTAGATTTTAGGAGTGGCTGTCTTATGACTTTATCTTTGAAACAGATAAACATTCCTAATATAAGTTGTTTACAGGATTAAGGTTTTCCTTTTCTTTCATCACATGATTTTATTTATTTTTTTACTGCATTGTTTATTTATGACTACGGTATTAAGGATAGAAATATTACCATTACTACTTCCTGGATAATCTGTTTGAAGCATTGACTCTTTCTCCTTTTGGTTTGTGCGCATGTGTTTGTGTGATTTAACTATAGGAAATGGAGGTAGTAATGATAATGAATTAATGAAATAAAAATTTTGTGAGAATAAATAAAAAATGTATTTATTCATATAATTTATATTGGCTTCTGTTCATGTCAAGGTTCAGAAATTTTGTGGATATTCTTCTTCTAAAAAGAAGAAATAAAGGAAAGATTATCATGGAAACATTGCTTACTGTTTTGTCTTGGTGTAGTTAAATTTAAAAAAAAGTCAAAACCGCAAAAAGAACAACCAGTTTCGTTATTTGCTTTAGATGGTATTTGTAAAAATAATCCCTCTCTGGCCTAGCTTAGATATTCTTTTTAAATTAACTGTTGTTCTAGCTATTAAAATAATGGTCCTAAACTAAGCCATGGACATTACAGAGCATAATATTGATAATTATTTGGTTAGTTGAAAACAGTAATCATTAAAAAAAACAAAAATTAGAAATGAACAATAAATGAGCCTTATTATTAACATTTTTGATTATTAATTTTAGTGATATTTCTAGTTGGAAAATTTATACCTTTATTCACCATGCAATATTTCAACACTACAATAACCTTCTCTGGAATCAACTTACTACTTACTAACTGTCTGTACAGATATTATAAATTTTCTAACTAGCAATATCACTAAAATGACTTTACTAAAAAAAATTGAAATTGGAGTTAGTAATTCTGTTAACTGAAAGGCTAAAATGACAGAGTGATTTGATTAGCATTCAGTAACTCCTAGCACTTATTGTAATTTTTGAAAATGTTTATTGTCTACAAATCTTTTAGTTTGCAACCATAAACAACCAAATATTTTCTTTACTTTCTCTTTTTTATTATTGTTTTATTTTGGCCAGATGTAGTATTTTAGCCAGATGTTCTATTTTGTTATTCTAAAGGGACTTTGTCCCAGAATAAAGTTATTATATATTTCTATTTCTATTTCTGATGTTACTTTGGTTCCAGGCCAAGGGTTACCAGTCAGTATTATTGTTAACATTAATATTATTGTTTTCTTTTTTTTAGTTATTGATTATTCTATTTTAATAATTAAGTTATTATTAATTCTAGTTTGGAAACACATACATTATCTGAGAAGTTATCTTGGTTGATATCAGACTCGAGTCACCTTTCAGCATGCTACACAGACCAGGCATTCCTTTGTCAAAGAGATTATGCCGAAGCTACACTAGTTTGTCTGAAGGCAGTTGAACAAAACAGGCTTTTTCTCCTTTCTGATATTCCCCCTCGTTTAGTGAGTGTTAAAATCATTATTTTCTATTTTAATATAATATTTTATGTCAAAATGTAAATATTGATTATGTATTGATGTAATTTTATCTTCAAATTGGTACCTAATTGATACTTATGAATAATAATAATTAGCGAACCCGAAGGTTCGATGCCGACACCACCAGTCGCTCGCTGTCCACACACCTCCCTCCACTGGTTGCCATCCAAACCAGGTCGCTTCAGATTGCTCTTAATACAATCTTCCTTCCTTCGCTTGGGTCTACCCCTCGGACATTTACCAGTCGGCACAGCAAATATTAACGTTTTAGGAATTCTTTTGTTGCGAAGTCCAACAATTTTACAAGCCCATTTTATTTGTCCCAATTTAATCACTTAAATTGGATACAATTCACACAATTCAGCATTGTGTAAACGCCTGAACTCTCCGGTTAACTCATCCTTCTTTGGTCCAACAATTCTATGCAATACTTTATTTTCAAAAACCTAAAAATGTTGCTCATCCCTTGATTTTTGCAGCTAACCATATATATTTTGTCTTATCCATGTTTATTTCAAGCCCTAGTTCTTTCTCGGCTTTCATTAATGTTGTTGTATTGAGTTTTATAGTTTCTGTGTTTTCACTTAACAGGACCAAATCATCAGCATAACCAAGTACTGATGTTATCCCATCTAGATTCAACCCTTTTTCAGTATGCATTACCACTCTAATGGCATGTTTCAATGCTAAATTAAACAGGACAGGTGAAAGAGAATCACCTTGTTTCAAACCCGATCGAACCTCAAAATTTTTGGATAAATAATAATCGATTCTAACTTTATTGAGCGTTTCCATCAAGCACATCCTAACTAGATTTACTAATTTTTTTGGAATCCCCTGCTCGATCAAAATATTATGAAGCTTCTGGCAATTAATAGAATTGTAATTTTTTTTTTTAAATCGATATACAGCTGATGAACAAGGTCATTGTACTAAAATTTTGTTCCCAATATTTACCATAAAAAAAAAAAATTTAATCCACAGTTGAATGGTTTTGTCTGTATCCACATTGATAGTCTCCGATAATTTCCTCTGCGTATTCCGTGATTCGATTAATAAGGATTAATGTGAATATTTTATACCATAGCGGAAGGAGCGAGATTCCTCCATAGCTATTATAATCCGTTCAATTTATGAATTGTAATAAGAATAGATTATTTCCATTCTTCAAGCAATTTCTCATTCTTCCAGATCTTTTTAAACAACAAATGTAATTTAGAAACTCCAGCTTCCCCACATGCCTTAATAGTTCACTAGGAATATTATCGGTTCCCTCTGCTTTATAAGATTTTGGTTTTCCGATTACTACTTCAACTTCCTCTTTACTTGGTTCTTTTATTAACAGTTTAGCCACAGTGATTAAATCATGCCCATAAATTATGGTTTTATAGTTGGTTTATACCTGAAATTTTGTGAAAAAAATTGTACTACATTGAGTCATTCAGTTAGAGAATAAGTGGGCGAGTTTCAGAAGAGAAGCTCTGTGGTATAGTGACGTATGAGCGAAGGATATAGTTGTTAAATACTGGGTGAGTAGAAGCTAGCCTTTGATAGTTCGATGCAGTGCGCACCCACCGATATCCACTACTGTAGTTTTATTATCTATTAATATGCCTTGTGTGGTGGGATTCAATAGGAGGTAGGGCTTCCACCCTCCTGTCTCATTTCAACCTGCTTCCCTTTGCCACACTGTGCCCGACTCCTCTCCGATCAGAAAGATACTCTGTAGTTTCAACAGCCACCCTAGTTTCCTAACTAGGGTTAAGAAACAGCTATTTTTACTTCGATTCTTTCCTCCTCTACAGGACCTCCTCATCCTGTGGAATCGAAGTATCTTCTTTACTTAATTCTTTTAGGACTTTAAACGTGACACAGTTCCTAAGACTCTCAAAGCTAGAGCCCGAGATTCTGAAGATGGCAAAGAATCTTTCTTTTAAGTAGTGCTGATTCCATTCAATGACTCCATCAATTGTGGTATTCTGCATCCTAAGTCTTTTCATCAGTACCTTCTCAGTAAGTAGCCTACCCGGAAAGTAGGCACTTACCTTTGAGGTTCTGATAAGTTCCTGAGCATCTCCTGTTCGAAGGGTAATACTCTACTAGGTTGATGCTCGGAATTATCTTAGCGAGCCAAACACTTGTCTTGTTGTTCATGTAGGAAACAATACCACTCCCATTTCGTAGCTAATGCTATCAAGTGGGTGGCACTCACCGTTTTCATCTAATTCATCTACCTTATCAGCAATGAGTTCTTTGAGTATCTCCACCTAACCACAGTTCAGCAAGGCCAGCTAATAGTTTGTAGGAACCACGGCTACCAGCTGACCTCTCAAGGCTGAGGTATAACTTTTGCCATCTGCCTCTTTGGGCTCCTTAGCGCTAGGTGCTGAGGTGCCCGGGGAGATTCTGTGTCATTTGCCTTTCTTTACAGCTTGCCCTTGGGCCCCCACAGCCTTAGGCATCAGGTCTTGAGACCCATACATCTTTAGCTACTGGCCCAGAGAGCGGTTCCATCTGAGTGAAGTATCTAGCCGGAACTTTTGCTGCGGGCAACTCAGCTTTGGAAGCCGGGTCATATTAGGCCTTTGCACCCTTTGCCCCCTACTCACTGCAAGGTTCCGTAATCTTAACTAGTCTGCTTGACTCGGAGGCCAACAGTTTGAACTCCTCGCCCTTGTTTGCAGGTTCTGGGATGACCCTTGCATCCTTAGCTGAATCCCCTAATGCAGGCCCCGATTTGGGGTGTAATTTTGGAATGATCGTGGGGGCTACTCTATTTCTTCTTTGCTGCCTTCTCATTGTTATTGATGGTTTAGGTGTGGCAGTGTCTGTTTCTTCCATTGTTACACATATTAGCTGCACAAGTTTAGACTGGACACCAAGGTCTAACATATCCTGATACAGTTTATTCCTTAGGATACTGTCATAAGCTCTTTGATAATCAATTATTATTCTCCAATTATCTACAAAGCCTTTTTTAAAATAAATTGTATATAGGATATAAAAAATAAATACATTGCATATGTTATATATTTAAAAAAAATGTCTATGTTGTTTTTTTTAGTACTATACCAGGATTCCTGGAAAAATGCATCGCCGCTGTTCCTCCCTTCCTGAAACCCTTAAGCCGCCAAAGCCTGCCTGCTCAGTTACTGTAACAAAAGAGAACGCCAGCCCAACAGCGAGCTGGGGTAGCTTGCCAGTGCTTGCTGAGCCAGTTCGTCCTGTCCCTTCTTCTTCTAGTACTGTCCCCGCATCCCCTGCCATCAAGAAAGTTCCTAAGAGAGTTGCTGCGGCATCTGAAAGTTCGGGAGAAAGTTTTATCTCTTATAAGTCTAGGTTTAAGAAGAAATCATTCATTGAGGATGGTGGTATGTATAATTGGATTTATTTCTCAGGAATTTTAACCTTTTGAAATTAAACTAAGAAAATATGGTTTTGGCTATTGAATATGAAACAATACAAAGGGAAGTTTTTAGGCTAAACATATTAATGTTGATTAGTATTTTGACCCATAAATCTTTACTGTTTTTTAATCATGTTTACATTTTTAAAAACTAATCAGAGCTTAGTCCTTTTATCAAAGTAATTGTAGTAATGAGTTACTCATTATCTGGAATTTATAAATAAATAATTATTTTGTGTCAACATTTAAAATATACAAGAAGCTCCAGATCAAACTGCATTTTGTTTATTTCCATTTTAATTCACAAAGTTCGTTTTAATCCTGTCAAAAATATGGATGAAATTCATTATTTAGTAAACAATGAACTTCCTTCACAGTTTTTATAACTCAGTTATGAAGAGCAATAACATCCAATACATTTTAGAATTATATTTCATGCTAAAAATAATTTTACTAGTTCCCGGTACATAATGAACTTGGTCAGAAAATTAACTAAATGAATTTAGATCTGAAGCTCTTCATATTTAATATATAACACCATTTTCCAATAATATTAGTGATTTCTCATTTGATACATACTTGGTTTGAATCAGGTTCCAACTTCTTATTTATTCCATTCTCCTTGATTTCGTTATATCCTACATATTTGTTTTAGTTACCATTGCCCCACTACAGAGTAGATATTTTTGATAAGTCACCAAAAAAGTGAATCCCATGTGATCTGTATATGTTATATAATGCGTAATATATTAATTAAAACACAGTTCATAGTATGTTCTATCAACTATTAAGTACAGCAGTATTTTTTTACATTGTTTTTAGAAATTTTTCACTCAAGGGGTTTTCATTATACATTTTCATTATGACTTTTTAAGCAGTAATGTCCTATTTCATAACTATTTTTTCATTTAAATGGCAGGAGGCAGAAGTATTCTTCCTATGAGGACAGGATACTTTCCTAGACCTCGTCGTGGTCAATCACTAACATCTTTCCTGCGGTCACGTGTTTTTGCATCAGCTGAGTTAGATAGAGAAAATGCTCATTTTTCAGTTTCAGAAGCGATAATAGCTGCTATAGAACAGGTATATTCATATTATTATTAATTATCGAATTTTTTTCAACAAGAATGTTAAACTAAAAAAAATTAATACCTGTGTTAATTAAATTTTATTGCTAGTGTAGGTGAAATGGGAAGTAACAGTAGAAGAAGAAAGTGATGAAGAAATAAGAGATTTGAAAGATAAACTTAGGGAAAGGAGGAGGAAATGTGAGGTTGAGAAAAGGGTATGGCCTGTCTCTGATTCAGGTAATTGTTAATTAATTTTTCTTGGTGCTAAATAGTTAGGACGCAGTCATTTTAAAGGTTTTTATTGGTGCCAATGTTTCAACCCAAGTATGTGGGTCATCATCAGGGCGTGCTTTGAGCACTGAAGATGTTCAAACAATCAATATTTGAACAACTTCAGTGCTCGAAACATGCTTAGGTTGAAACGTCGGCATCAATAAAAACTTTAGAAATGACTGCGTCCTGACTATTTATTACTTATGATATGTAGAACAGTCATCTATCTTCCTTCAATAATTCAAGACATTTTTATTAGCATTAGTGGTTATATGGTAACTTAGCGACTTTTTCCTGTTGAATGATTAAAATATTTTAAATCTCCTATTATATTCTCGTATTTTTTTTTTTTTTTTTTTTTTTGTACTTGACCTTTTTTTTCTCCTTAATGTTTTGTTCTGTTTCAGATTTTGTTGTATCATTTTCATCATTCACATGACTCTTAGGATTATAATACATAGGATTTTATTTAATATAATATAAATGTGGTGCTTTGTGTAAAACTGTAATTGAGTAAATTAGAGATGGGCATATAGCTGATTGTTGATATTGTAAGGATGAAGAATAGTCCGGATGGGGAGTCAAAAATTTGTTTATTGAGTTAGCCGACATTTTGACCCAAACATATAGGCCATCATCAAAGCTAAAAATAACATAAGAAAAATGATAAATATAAAAGTATAAAAGAAGAAAAGTTGAAATATACAAATGAGACAGCGGTTTTATAGGGTATCCTGTAAGTAGAGGGAAATATTTAACAGATTGATAGTAGACATCAAGATCTACAATAAAGTTCTACAAGCAATTTACAGCAGAAAAGTAGTAAATTTCAGATTTGTATTTTTTTAAGCATTACCTCTTTTGTTAAATAGGATGCGAGAACTTCAAAAATATTTGATTTAAGTAACCTTAACATTTCTCCATAGTAAACTAGACAAAATTTATTTTAAATGAAGATGGAATTTGTCATTGTTAAAACTATTTAAAGAGGACTATTAGGCGGACAAACACAGCTAATTTCTGTTTTTAAAAAAGTTATAAATTATTTGTGATTTTTTAAAAATCATATTTTAACAGTACATTTACACTACTTTTAGAAAACCTTCCTTGTTTAATAAACTTTAAGATCATATAGATTAAGTTGAGGTTTATTTGGAAAAAATTTGTGATTCACCTCAAGTAGTGTAAAGAAATGATGTGATTTTCTATCCAGTCACATTGTTACCCGTGTTTTCTACAAAAATGACTACAACTAACTGTTGCAAAGCTTTTATTTCTTGTTTTTCTGTGATATGGGATGTATTGTAATAAACGCAATTGCCTAAAAATACATTTTATCTATAAATATAAAAAAATTAAAAATAATGATTTTTTAAATATTTTTCATGTGAAATGAAACTGTGTTTTTCTCCCAGATTTCTGTTATAGGAATTGATATGTATCTATCAGTGGCGAAATTAATTTTTCTTAATAAAATTTACGTTCAAAATGAAGAAACCTACTGACAGCTTCAATTATTTATATGAAAACGTAAATATTAGGACTAGAAACATTAAGTTTCTAGTTTTGTCACTTATAAATATACATCTATTCCTATGAAAGAAAGAAAAAAAACAGTTTCATAACTACCTTACATGAAAAATCATTATATTTAAATTTTTATTTTTATAAATAAAATGTGTTTTTAGGCAATTTTGTTTATTACAATACATCCCATATCACGGAAATACAAGAAATAAATCTTTGCAACAGTTGTAGTAATAATTTTTGCTTAAAACACGGCTACTTTTAGCTGATTGGACAGAAAATTACATATTTTCTTTAAACAACTTGAGGTGAATCTCAAAATTTTTCCTAATAAAGCTCAACTTAATTAATATGGTTTTGAAGCTTATTAAACTATGTCAAAATGTCAGAAAACTAAATAAACAAATTTTTTAATGCACAGCCTGACCATTTTTCATTCTTGTAATTGAATTTTTTTTTTCTGTAATTTAAATTTGAATTTTTGAAAATCTGAACACATAGGACAAATAAAGTTATTAATACTTTCATACTGAAAACATTACTATTAACCTGATGATAAGAAAATTGGAGGTAACATATTTAAAGTGATTATAAACTATAGGAAATTTTTTTTTTATCTTTAAAGGTTGTGGGGAAACAAGTCCTAGCCCAAAGACATCTGCCTCTGGTGGAAGCACTGATAGTCTCTCTACTGATGAAGAAACTGATCTTGAAAATAAAGGTATGTTATCAGATTATATATATAGTTTCTTTGTTAGTTAATTAGTTTTTTGTCTAACCCCTTAATTAAATATTGGTAGAAGAACCTGTTTCACCTGAAAACACTAATTCAGCAGAAGGCGTTGCTCTTTCTTTATTAAAACAGTTTTCTGGTAAACATTTGCCAAAAGCTTCAGAAATAGATTGGCTCGTGTCAGAAAAAGATGCACCTCAGCAGGTATAGTCAAATTTCGTTTACTTATTACAAAAATGTTTATATATCTTAACAGTTTAAGTAACTTAAGTATTGTTTTTTAACTTTTAATGAATACTAACTTATTATTTATATATTTAATAATATTGCTATTTAGTTATTACCCCTGCCTGAAAGTCTGGCAGCAACACCACCCGATGATGATATGAGGGATGCAACTGAACTCCGAGGAACACAACTTTGGGCTCCTCCCAGACCTCAAGTTATTTTTACTGTTCATCCTCCTCAAAGGTAATTAAGGCTGTGATTAAGTGAATTAATAATGATTTGCCTTGTTTGAAATCTATTACAACACTGACAGTAATTTAAAAAAAAACAATTATTTAGTATAGCTCTGCCTTAAAAGGCCATTCTGTGAAGATTGTTACTGGTCTATCAAGACCAGGGGAGCTAAGCCTTTGTAAAAAAAACTACTGGTTACTTACTCTCAACTGTTGTCCCGGATTTTTGATGGATACATGTAAACAATCTTGGACTTGTATTATGGCTTATTAAATTGGAACATGGAACGTAAGAGGACTTTATGTAACTGGTGCACTGATAGAACTGAAAATTTAACTACAACATAATGTGGATATAACTGCTATACAGGAACCATGTTGTACAGAAAATAGGAAGCAAAGTGAAAAGGATTTTAACATTTTCTATTGTGGAAGCCCTGGCTGGTATGAGCTCGTTTATAGCCTTCATGATATGAAAGCAAATGAGGAAAGCTATTCTTGATTTTCAACTTATAAATAAGAGATTACGCAAATTAAGGATTCAGGGAAGGAAATTTTTCATATCGCTTAAAAAAAAAAGTTCATCCCCAACAGAAGAAAAAGAAGAAGATAAAAAGGACCTTTTTTATGAGGACTTAAAAAGGACTATAGCCTCCTGTCCCATTCTTTTGATATGAAAATAGTTACGGGTGATTTTAAAGCTCAGGTGGGTAAAGAGTCAGTATTTGCTTCTACTCTTGCCATACATAGCCTGCATGTGAAGACAATTGATTATGGGGAACAAATACTTAGTTTTGCTACATGCAGATCATTGGTAGTAATGAGTAGTGTCTTTACTCACAAAGGAAAACACTTCAACAATTCAGTTATGCATGTAAGATTGTTTTGAGGACCAGATATCAGTTCTAATTATTTTCTAGTGAGATCAGACATTTGAACAGTGTAGGATTTCAATGGAAGTCTTGGACTAACAGAAAAAAAAAAAAAAAAACTAGTAGCGGTAGGAAATAAGGAAGAGAATGTTTTGTAAAATGAGTGAAATACAATTCATCTGGCTAAGAGAAATGTTTGAAGAAGAGGAGATTTGTTATGTTTTCCAGTGAGACACTGAGCATGAATTAGCAAATATTCTAACTGTAATCAGAAGGAAAGATGTGAATAAGGATTGAAATTGTCTAAGGCAGACTATATCTGGTTCAGAAGACTAACACTGTAAATGAAATAGAAATTAAGTTAAAAAATACTTGGTTTTAACTCTGGTATTAATCCCCCCCTCCACTCCCCTAGCCCGAGAAAATCCCTGTATAGCCTTAAAGGCAAGTTGTGGTGGGGAAAAAAAAAAGTTTGATCTAGATTGTGAGGAATTTAGATTGTGGAATGAAAAGAAGAAAAATGTTCTGAATAGAGATGGCAGATAGACTAGAAAGGTGTACAATGATGCCAGATCTAATGCAAATAAGATTTTGAGCTATAAGGAAAGATATGTATTTGAAAGCTAAACATACATTAAGTGGAAGAGAAACAATGATGCCAGGAAATTTTTGGTGAATTGAGCTGCATAAAATTGGACTTATAAATAACTGTTTGATGATAAAGCATTCTGATGGTGGAATGATCTCTCTGGGTCAGGGTGTGCAAGGCAGGTGGGAAGAGTATTTTCAAGAAATGCTAAACCCCTGGGAAGATGTATCTTGCTATAGACTAGGAGTTACCGACCACTTCATTTAATGTAAAAGCGCATGGAATGGAAGGCGTATTTCACTAGTGAATGTGCCGCTCTCAACTTAAATGCTTTTTATCTTTTCAATGCTTCTTTTGAATGGCTAATTTAACTGTATTTATAATAGAAATAAAATGTCTATAAAAATTGCGTAGCTTTTATATGTTCTGAAAAGATAAAAAGCATTAACTTGAGAGCTGCTTATTCAAGAATGAAATACGTCTTTGATTCCATATGCTTTAACAGCCGTTTCATCATCTCACATATTAACATGTCTACATGAAGTGCATAGGAAATTTAATGCTCTTTCAAATTGATTATAATGAATTTCTTTGAGAGACACTCCTCACCCTTTGGAACTATATTAACAAGCTATGTATAAAATTGATAGTAAATTTTATCTTCTTTAACTTTGTGTATAATAATAATTTAGATAAAATGCATCGTTTCAGAGCGATATCCAAAATCTAAAAAAAGTTCGAAAATCTCGCTGTTGTTTGCATATTTCTCGGAACACAATGTAAAATTTCATCCGGTAACATCATATTCCATTTCAGCATCCCAAAAAAACATAAAAACCAAAGAGAAACCGACTATTTGAATTTTTACCTTGTCCAACTACCATTGGACTAGTTTAATTTGATGGCTTTGATGCTTCAGTTTTCGAAGCACATCCAAATACATCATCAGTCCAGGTGAATTCTTTTTTAGGAACATATTCTTGACAACATATCAAAATTTCAGCTGTATATCAAACCCCAAAATGGTGAAATATATCCATATCTTATGAAAAAAATTATCTGTAAAAAGTATTATTGTCCATTAATTACATTTAATAGGAATTCAATAATCACTTAAAATCCATTCCTTATAGTTATTTCAACATACAGTTATTTTATTTTTTTCTTCTAAAATAATTATTGTTATATACATATAGAAATAAAAGCTTTTGGGCTGAAGCCCCTCTCCCCAAATTAATTTCTGTATCTACTAGTGGGAAGAATGATTATGAATGATCAGAAAGATAACAACGTTTCAGGCTCTGATGGCATACTATCAGAATTTTTGAAGATAGACAAATCAGCACTGGCTGTGGAGTCAATTCATTTAGTCGTCAATATTTGGGATGGTGAAAAAATGCTGGATGGCCAGTAGGAATCTGTCATTATACCCGTTGAAAGACAAAGAGAAAGACAACATATAGAATGATCTCTGTGCTTCCCAGTTCATAGAATACAGCTATAGACATAGACAACTAATTAGGATAAGTGATTGTTTAGCAGCCAGGTAGTTATGCTTTGAAACCCCAATCAGATCGTACAGAAGACTGAAGGGAAGATGGAAGGACTCAGCGACTGAGGTTTAAGGATAGTCGGAGTGTCCAGCTGACTTTCCTCTGACCAGAATGATTGAGAAAAGGCAGTCGAGAGGGCCATGGGCAGTTTCAGATGCCTGTTTACCCTTTGATTAATCAATCATTTAGGATGTATAAACATATTTGGATATTGTGTTTGTGTTGCATTAGGTGTAACTGTTCAGTGAGTAGGGTGATCCAGAAACCTAGTCTTTTATTTCTCTAGATAATTTAAATTCAATCTCAAAGTTAAGAAAAAATCTGATTTATCATCAGTTATAATGTATCTTTCAAAGAATAATAATGAATAAATAAAAAAAGAAATAATTAAATTAATCAACTATAATAGATTTTTGTCACCCTATTTTTAAATTTTTATTTTTTATTTTTTAATCCTATTCTTATTAGTGCTCTTAGAAATTAAATTTCATCTTTTAATTTAAAAGGAGAGCTGTTGTTATGGCAAGACAGAAATTTAGATGTGCCGGCTGTGGTATGAAAATTGCTGAAGAATATATGGGGCGATTGAGGTATTGTGAATACCTTGGAAGATATTTCTGTACTGGCTGTCACTCAGGAAATACATCTATAATACCTGGAAGGATACTCGCTAAGTGGGATTTCTCAAAGTAAGCTATTTATTTGTTTTTTTATTATTTTCAAACAAAAAAATAGTCATATTTTTTATGTAGTTCTAAAAACGTTTGTTAAAGAGAGATTAATAATAAAAATATCCAGATTTACTTTATAACAATTATAAATAAAATAATATTTGTAGTCAAATCAATAATCAGAAATGACTCTTGATTTTTAATTTTTGCAGATATCCTGTTTCGAATTTTTCATCTAAGCTGCTTGAAGGAATGTACAGTGACCCATTATTCTGTCCTGCTGATGTTAATGTTCATCTCTATAGAAGAGTTAAACTGTTAGAAAGAACTAAACTTCTTCGTTTACGCCTCACATACCTCAAAGGGTTCCTCATGACATGCCGCTTTGCAAAGATCGTAAGTTTTAATGATATTTAAACCTAACAGATTTAAAAGTAATCAAAAAACATAATAGAAGAAACTTGTGAATTAAGATTAAAGCTAAATTTAATTGTAATACTTACAATTAAATTATTTTTGAATAATAGTAAAATTAAAGCTCTTATCTGTAAAAAAAAAAAATAATAAAAAAAAATTTTATATTTTTTTTGTGTAAACTTTTTTTTAAAATGTAGAGGGTGGAGACTCCACCACACACATTCTTCCACTCTAACTGAGGTCCCTTAAGTTATAGATCCATATTGACTTGAGACTGCGGTGGCCGAGCATGTTGAAACATTGCCCGCTTTAACATTCACTAGTTCAGAGGTATCAGTTTAAATCTAATCTGGACAGGTTGAAATAATCACTACAAGTGCCATTTCTGATTTCTTGGACCAATATCCGTTATATAAACATAATAAAATTTTATCCAGCATGCCTGGGGTTATGCCCTTTAGAGGGTTAAACTACTTATTTAAAGTTTTAATTAAACATAAGATTGTTCTTTAAAACTTTTGTGACTGAATGTTAATGGTTGCAGGAGCAGAATGAGTTGAAGAAGGAACCTGACTATATGCTACAAGTCACAGAAATATATTCTCTAGAAGATCTCTGTTCTTTAAAAGCTGGTAAACTACCTGAAAGACTGGCACGCTTAGCTACTCTCTGTATAAATCATGTCTCCAACTGCCCTCTTTGCCAGGGTAGAGGTTTCATGTGTGAAATTTGTAGGTCACCTCAAGTAATTTACCCTTGGGAGCTTGATAAGGTCGTACGATGTACTGAATGTGGCTCTTGTAGGCATGCTTCTTGTGTTGCGTCCCAGTGCCCCAGGTGTGAGAGGCAAGCCAAAAGGCTTTCCGCCAAGGCATCTTAATCTAGTCTTAAGAATTAGAATCTTGTTTACCAAATCCATGATTTGCCCTAGAAAAGGTATAGATCAATTTTTACAGTAAAATTGATGAGTACTGGTTTTTATTTTTAGTATTTTTTTATAGATTCCATATTAATAAAAGTGATATTTTTAGTCAGATTTAAATAACTTGTAGTTAAGTATTTTTATCTCATGTTAATTATTTATATAACTTATTATTGTATGTTCTTATTTAATGTTTTGTTTAGGTGTTATTTATTTATCTCAATTGTTTAATCCTGAAGATCTAAAATATATTTTTCTAGTGACTAATGAAATTTTTTAGTATTTATTTTCATTTTCTCTTAAATTTTCATGACTCAATAAGTTAGAGATATTGCCATAATCTGAAATCAAAGAAAATGCCAATGTGGCGCATGTAATTTTTAACAGTATTTATGTTTCTAATCATCATGTATTTTGATTAGGATTTTAATAATATTATTATTTTAAAGAAATATTTGAACCTGTTTGTTTATTTTTGTAATGAAGTAACTATAGACAGCTTTAAGTAGGTTAATGTTTAAAAACATGGTGTCTAATCTGTTGTTATTTTGTGATATTTGATGTTGTTTCTATATTATTTTTTTTTTAACTTATATTGTTATTGCTTCTCAAAATACTTTATTTAATCAACAGTTAAATGTTTAATTCAAAATACATATCATAAAGCACAAATTAGATGGTAATTTATGTACAAGGCTTCAAGCATCCACTTGATTTTGTATATGGATTAACAGATATAATAAACCTTTTGCAATTTGGATATTGTTACTTTGTTCATTCCATATCGAATCACACAGTGAAAAATGGATTTTGAACTTTCATGTCTCCAATTTACATGGATTTTTTCAATATTAGTCATACCTACAAAATACATAACAAAACTATTTTTAAATATTTTTTCAGAAGTAGTTTTTTTAGCATCAATTTTCAAAAATTGTGGAAAAACTGAATTTTTACATGTTTTTGATTACAGAAATGCTTATGTTATACAATACAAGGTAAACTATGTTAATACAATACATGGTCTGAACCTTACGTTCTCAAATTTTCTTGAAATTCGGCACATTTTTACTATTTGTAGAGACATGGAATTTAACTGAGATAATCATTTCATTTTTTAATAAACTGTAAAGAACTCATTAATTGACCAAAAATATAATAAATGTAGGATTAAAAATTACTGTAGATGCTTTTCTAATTTGGCTAGAGGTCTGAGATTTAGATCATTTTACAGTGTTTTAAATGCTCTTTCGTAGACAATACAATATTGTATAAGAAACAGCATTTCAAACAATGTAAAATGACATCAGTCCCAGACCTCTAGCCCAATTAGAAAAGCATCTACAGCAATTTTTAATATTTCATTTATTTCTTCTACTTTTGGGTCAATTAATGAGTTTTATACAGTTGTGAAGAACGAGGTGTCGAGCCTAATGACTGAGTTATTATTAGACGCTCTACTAGACATGACCAGATTATAATATCGCATTAAAGAAAAGAAAAAAAAATTATAATTTATAACTGCACACAGTAAGTATCAATTGTTCTTATGTATTATCAACCTGTTTTAAGCAAATAATCTCAGAGATTCCGCTGAAAAACATGTCTTTACATTAGAAACAACAGACATTATAAAATAAAAGTACCACAGAGAGAAAAATACTTTACAGAAAGTAAAGCTATCCTGCTTCATAGGGCTGCTTTGTACATAGCATGCTAATCAATCCATATTGGTGACAGGACATAACTCTTACATTACATTATTTTGTTGTATATATATTTTTTTTCGTTCCTTATCATCACACTAGTCACATAAAATACCATCAATACACTATGTTAGAATATTATTACTAAATAGCATACATATTAAAAAAAAAAAAAAAAAAATTAAAACTGAATGCTAGAAATACAAGAACAAATATATACCAATGTAATTACATAAATATAAACAAAAGAATAGCGTATAAATAAATGATAATGAACATCCTCGTTCGACCATTACAATATATGTGGTAGTGGATGATCCCCATAATGTTTTCGGCCAATATTGCAAGCTCTCCAACATCAACACCTAGTTCCTCAAAGCTCCATGTTCTTTTTGGGATTGTTCTGTGTGATCCAGTATCCTAAGAAGAATGGCCTAGATAAGTGAGATGGTAAAGAAGGCATGTCCTAAGAGAAAAATTGTCCTTTGCCACAATCGCAAGGCGTATCGCCTCACCAAGACTTACTGCCATAGTTTGATGCATTATGTGAAACATAAAGAGCACCACAAATCTGGTGAGTACATAAAACTGAAACAAGATCCTGCAGTTTGTGTTTTATGCCTGGAGAGACATCTAGAGAACTTCTAAGGCCAGATATACAAAAATATCAAGTCAAGATATCAGAGATCCCGAAATCTAGAGGAAACAGAGAGATCAAGAAGAGAACCTTCCAAAATAGTAGACCCAACAGGAATTGTTGGGGCGTTTTCCCAGCCCATGGGCTGGTGTTTCAGACTCTGCCCCAACTGGGGACCCAAATTCCTCCGACTGTCCACTGGTTCCTGGAACTCCACTCAAAGGTATGTAGTTGATGTTGAGTTTTAAGGCGTTGTACCATTCTGACCCCGGAAGTACTTCTTTCTAACATATAAGTTAGGAAGAGGAAGTAACATATAAATTACTTAGCTTTGGGGGTCTCTTTAAAAGGCCTAACATTAAAGTCTTTTTCCACCTACAGCTGGCCCATTCTTGAAAAGAATTTTCCCTTAGCGACTATCGTAGAGCTCTTACATTTGGGTGGCCCTGGTCAACAGCCAGTCTCTCCTCACATTTAGCGATTTCAGCATTATAATCAAATGTAGCCTGGAACAGGGCATCCGGTACTTTGGACAGTTGCTCGGCAATAGACTAATGCTGCAAAGGGGCCTCTCATTGCCAGTGGATCAGTCCCAATCCTCGATCCATCTTCGGTGCGTACTACACCGCCGATGATATATGATTGGGAAGCCCTATAATTGCCCTGATACTGTAGATATTTGCATCAATCCAGTCTGGAGAGGGTAGTTAAGTCCCGGGAGCATTGATAACATTTATCTTTTACTACGGTTTAAGAAGGCAAGAGCTCACTAGTTTATCGGAATTGTCGTTAAGTTTTTTACCGTTTCCTCATTCAGCACTAGCTATCCCTAGAACCAGCATCCTTAATATTTTACAATATCGTCTGCCTTTGAGGTGTTGATGACTTCTCTGTTCTCGGATCCTCTGTACATTGTTGTTTATCTTCTCTGCAGTATCCATGTATCTTGGAATATCCATACTCCAGTACCTTTGCTTGAAAATTCTTGCTCACGCAGGTCGCAGTACAGATGATCTATAGCCTGGTTGAACAGGGAAGGCGACAACGGTCCTCCTTGAGGTACTCCTCTCCACACTTTGATCCAGCTCGTCGAGTGGGATCGGACTCTAATCTTAATTGAGTTAGTACTTAGAAGAGCCGCAATTACGTTTTTTCAGTCCGGTGGGATCCCTCTTGCCTCCATTGAGCTGATGATATATGGTCATGAGCAACGTTGTCAAAAGCGTCGACGACATCGAGAAACACCACCTCGTAATCATTCTTTCTACGTTTGGCATCCTTTATGATCGCGTCGATGATTCTTGGGTTCAAATCTGTTCCCGGCAAGCTCTTGATGGAGCCCCTCTGGATTTTGCTGAAGGTGATCTATTTCCTCAATTCATGGTCCAAAACCTTCTCGAAGATACAGCACACAATCGAATAAATGGTAATGGATCGCCAAGATTATATGCTGTTGGCATTACTTTTTCGTTTGTAGACCAAGATTGTGCGCCCTTGACCAAAAGTTTCTGGTACATAATTCATTCTCAGCAATTCTTGATAATTCTCCACAATTATTTTAATTATATGAGAAACGTCAAGATATTTTATCGCGCTCATCAAAACTGCCTCTGGTCCCGACGATGTATCCAAAGACGTTGATTTAATTGCCTATTTTACTGATCAGACATAGATGGACATCAGATTTTGCATTGGAGCGCAATTTTCGTAATCCACATGTTTGTGGAGATTTTTCTTCTCAAAGAGGCTTCTAAAATGGTTTTCGATTTCGACTACCTTCACTGGGCACTTTTTAGGAGCGTCAACGTTCATTATATTTATTTAAAACTACCCTGCCTATTAGGCAATGCAAATGTTTGCTATAGTGGATATCTACCAACCAAAAAAATACGAACCAAAACCAAAAATAAGAAATTTATCAACCAAAAAATTGTTTTATCGCAGAATTATATTTTAATAAATAAAGATAAAAACAAACGAATCTATATTATAAAATTTAGAATGAATTAAAAAAACAAAATGTTAAAACCTATATATAAATTAATTTTAAAATTTGATTTTAAAAACATTAATTTTTACTCTACCAGTCAGACGTTCGTTAATCAACATGCTACTTTAGAAAAGATTTGTTGTCATAGAACCGTATTGGCGATTATACTCTACGTTTCGTTGGCAATGATGTACAAATTAGGGTAGTTGTTTTGCAGACCAAACCACAACTTAATAGTATCCTCGTTGGCGTACACAATATCCTTTTCTAAGTACCTGTTTAATTCAATCATTACCTTTCATTCAGTTTTCCCTTTCGGATAATGTTGCTCTTGGGCTCTCCTCAATGTTCCTAAAACCTCGAGTTAGTTTTTTTTTCTTCACTTTTCTGTACTCCTCTGCATTTATCTTCATTTTCCTCTGCCACAATGATTTCTCTGACATTTTAAACAGCGTTAGTATTACGCATATTTGCTTCATTATGCTCTATCGCATTTCAATTGTTGTAGGAACGAAGATGGTACAGGACGAGAACTGGAACGAATTCCGTTCCGATTTGTAGTCGGAATCGCCCATCCCTAATCACAGATGACATCAGTGATCCCAACTATTCAATAATCCAGGTCATTCTTCGTTGATTAATTTTCCTTCTAGTGCTGACCGGAGGTCATTTCAGTCTGATATTCGAATTTTATAACCCTTTTGTCCTGTGCCTCCTCTCTCCACTGCTCAGAGCTATAACTCTTGATGTGAGGCCAACCTCCCTCCCCCCAAATGTTCCCATGGCAGCTCGGTTCATGGACCGCCATGATTTCTTATCGTTGGGAGAGAGAACGAAGTTCGTCCGGCTGCCCATGTTGAGCTGGAGAATTATAAGCTCTCCAACAATACAGGAAGGTATTTTTAGCTACCTCTTTAGCCCTCTGCAGATGCACAGGGCATTCTCTGCTACCCGTCTTATATTCCTTCTAATAACGGGAGTATTCACTCGTCGCAATTAATGCAGGAAGCGCTAGCCATTTATTTTTTCTTCCGGCATTCTTTAATTACATGACCACTAGCTGCAGACCACTGCATCTATAGTGTACGTGACATTGGTGCGGCCGTAGCTGTGGCATTTACTGCATTATATTTTGAAATATGTTCATTATATTTTGTACTACTTTTTTTCTTCCATTGTAATGATTATATTGAGCTACATGGTGTTGGTATTGCTCCTATTGAGAACTCCTATCTGTCTTGTTAGCTCTCGCTGGATTAAAAACTTTTCCCTCACCCTTGCCAAACATATCAGTCTGATTTTTTTTTTCTAAACTCATACAATTTAACGACAGCATGCGCTGAGGCAGGAAATTCATTATTAGCATTTTTCAGAAAGTTTAAAAGAATGCCTATTGCTTCGTCGAATTCCATGTTCTCTACATTA